TGCCATAAATGATTAAAATCATATACTACTGATCATTATTTTTGAACGAAATTCTTACAATTAACAATAATAATTCTTGAGTAATGCCTTTTTAAATCAGAAATATCATTATTTTACAATCCCTATGATATATGTTTTGAGTTTGGAGTAGTAAATAAATAATGTTAATTATTAGCAACATAAAACAAAATTTCTATAAAATTAAGTAAGAAAACGATAAAGAACTATGGCTCGAAATAAACACGGACAAGACAAAATATAAGATTAGCAGAAAAAATAGCCGATGATATCGATATAGAAGGTAACATGTTTGAATACGTAGAGAAATTTAGGTATCTTGGGTCTATGGTAAATAGAAAAAACGAAATTGAAGAAAAGATTAAGGTTAGGCTGAAGGCGTAAAATGCTTATTATTTTTCAGCGACATAACTACTTAGCTCGCGCCTCTTGTACCGGAACTTAAAAACTAGAATCTATAAAACCATTATCTTACCTACAGTTCTTTATGGATGCGAAACGTGGCCGTTTACATTAAGAGATGAGCTACGTCGTAAGGTTTTTGAAAATAAAGTATTGCGTAGAATATTCGAACCGAAGAAGAATGAGTTCAAACGGAGAGTTTGGACGGTAACAAAATGCCGAATCGCGTGAACTTCATCCGGTGTGAGGTGATTACATCGCGGCGAATCAAATGGGCTTTTCAAATTGTTGGGCTTAGTAAAGAGAGAATTCCTAAAAGGTTAGTATTTGCTGCACCGAATAGTAAACGTGCGAGGGGTAGGCCGAAGCGAAGATGGGAGGATTGTGTTAAAGTCGATCTGAAGGAACTGGGTGCGGACGGTGAACGGTGGAGGAAGGTGTGTAAAAAGCGATTGGTGGTGGCGGCATCGAACCTTTGGGTTCGCTAATCCTTTTATTGTTATAATATTATTTCCGAACTTCATCAGAAATTTCAGCATAAAAAAATATATTTATAAATATTTTTATTTATAGATCAGGCACGATTTCTAAATAAAAAATCAAACATAATGATTATTACATTATTTTGGGTAAAAAATAGTTATCGATTTCAAACCTCTTTAAAACGCTAAAAAATTTTAAGTTAATTTTAACGCAAAACTTGAGTATGGTAAAAATATGAGGACACCAATATCAAATTTACCAGGTAAAAGAGTAATGGGTACGAAAAAACGTAGAGCTCAACCCATTACTAAATTTTGTGAAAATATAATTATCTATTATCATGACACAGACAGATAATAATGAGGAAGACTAAAGATAAAACCTAAGTCCAGAAAATATTAGAATCTAGACGATTTTTCGGCGGATTTCAAGATCACATAAGCCGTGAGGGCGAATAGTAAACTTAAGGAAAATTTAAATAGTTTCGGTACTTATCTACTTTTCTAAATTTGTAAAAAAAAATTAAAAAATATTTCTGATTTTCTTAGGAATTTGACAAAAATCCCTGATTATTAATAAAAATCCCCTGATTTTTTCCAGAACAATGAGATTTCCTGCCTTTTCCTACATTTCCCTATTTGCAGACACTCTGTAAATATGTAAACGTTCCATAAGATTTTTCGTTGCTAAGTTAGGCTGGTCACACATATACATTCGGACGAAGGAAAGCTTGAAACGTCTTTCTCTGCAAAAAATTAGGTTGGAAATGTTTAACGATCGCGATACTTGCTCTTCAAAAACATTTCTTATCAAGTGAAAGTTGAAAAAAAATACTGAATTCATTCTACTGTTGGATTTTAATGAGATGTCCGAATTTCTCGGGATTCTAAATATAGTTTACCGTTCTTTTAATAACAAAAGATCACTTCCGTCTCACAAGCGATTCCAGTATCACTTAAATTCTTCTACTTCTTCTTCAATCGGTACAAGTCATCACTGACTCCTGGCCTCCTCGAGCAGCTTCCGCCAGTTTAATCGATTCAATGCAGCTGCTCTCCAATTCCGTACACCTTCTTCAACACCATCCAGCCATCTTCATCTGGGAGCTCTAGGTTATCTTCAGGTTCGACTAAGGTTCACTTCTTCCCGCTCAGCTTACCGTACCCGATTTCCATTGAGCAAGTATCGCTTAAATAGATCGTTAAAATATTTAACACCCCTATATTCATGCGGATAAGAGTCGTAACAAGGAGAACATTTGACCAATCCAAAACAATTATAATGAGACAAACTGATTCACGGTATATAAATAAATAGAAATACGCTTCTTCGAACTGACGCTGATGCTGATTTCCTGGTATTGTTCCAAATTTGTAACATCAACAAACCGATTAGATTTAAACAAACCTTAATGCAAAGTGTTTTTTATTAGTTCTTAAGAAAGGAAAAATAAATAAATAAAAGTAACAATAATAGTAAAAAAAAACACTATTAGCGTCATTCTTATATTATTTGACTATTTGATTTCCTCGGGCTTTACATTGGTTTTTACTTATTTTTTCAGGTTGAAAAAAAGTAATGACATTATTTTTATGTGTTGTTTCTAATGAATAGAATGGTAACATCAAAATAAATCTAACTCAATCACAAGATAAAATGTGAATGCAAAAAAGAGGTAACAAATGTAACTGTCTCCAAGGTGATAATGCGAAGTTCTCTATGCTTTGATATGACATAATCTGTTTCCATTAATTTTTAACCATGGAGGATTTTACAGTTATATGATGTTATTTTGAATTATATATATATATATATATATATATATATATATATATATATATATATATATATATATATATATATAAATTTTGGGAAAATCTTCGTAATGAATATTACCGGCTTTAGTTACAATACTGTTTATCTAATATGATGGTAGTAAAGCCTTCCATAGTGAGGAAGCAAAAATTAAAAAAAAAATAACCAGATATTGTTTTAATTATTATTTATTAAAAAAATCGAAAACGTTTTTTTCTGTACCCCCCCTCCCCTATGTGTCCAAAGTTGATAGAGATACCCTCCTCAATTTACTATTTCAATAGAATTTTAGTTCGTCGACCGAGAAAATTCCCCTAAATTTGAGCTTTTTCTTCGGATTATCTTCGATACTACTGGGCCAATTTTTTGAAATTTGGTACCAAAGTCAGAAAACTTCCGAGGATGACCCTCTGAACTCGATATTGCCATCCGATCTTCCGTTTCAAATTTGCAGCCAAAAAACCTATGTCGCTATAGACTGTACTACCAAAACGGCTATTGAGATTTTAATGAATCTTTCCCAAAGTCTTCTCGTTGAAGCCCTTTAATTTTTTTTACATAATATATAATAATTGAGTTGAAAAAAAAGTTATGATGGATCACAGCCGGATTTACGAGAAGGGGTGGGCTTAAGGGCTGTATCCTCCCTCTTCCCCCCACAAAATAATTGTAAAATATGACGACGTTTTATGGAAAAAAATATTTAAAAATTAGCTCTTAAAGTACTATTGTTCGTGTAATTACATTTAATATGACTTTAAAAATCACTTAAACACCATTTCATATAGGTAGTTTCTTTCTTTTTTGTTCCACAATAATTATCGTTATAAATATGAAAAAAAAACTTTCGGAGTGAAGCAACTGCCCCCTCCCCCAAAAAAAATCCGCTAGTGCGATGAATGCAGAATTTTATATGCGCATTACTCAAAAATACTACTTCTTTGGTAATTTTTGTAAGTTGATATTAAAAATGCCATTAAATTTTATAAAAATGAAAAAAACGGTACATCAAAATCGGAGAAGTATTAGTAAAGATATAGAGTGTTTCATATATTTTTTCGTGTATTATTTTCATTATTGAACCATTGCAATCAAATAACAAAAAGTTAACCCATCTCAAAATTTGAAGCTTTATGTTTCATCATATATAAAATCCAAAAATCCAATTGTGTGTCTGCTTATTTAAAAGATGATGAAATTAGCTAAAATACTTTGTATTTGGTACTTTGTTAATCGATATGGTATTTTATACTTTTTGCAAATGTTTTAATAAAAAATCAAGAAATTTTATAACTGATAGAACTTAAGGGGGCAATTTTCGTGTTTAATTTTTCCATAAGTGGTAAAGAATGAGCCGCCATACATATTTGATGTACACCATTTCCAAGTCATATTCAACTTTTTCCAAGTCAAATTCAACTATTTCCAAGACAAATTCAACCTTTTCCATTTATTTTAGTTTTTCGTACTTGTTCAATATATGAGATAATAAACTCTTTATTTCAAAAAATGTAGAATAGATTAAACATATTGAAAGATGAATTTCAAATGGAAAATGTTTAATTCGTCTTAGAAATAGTTTAATTTGACATAAAAAACGCACACAATGGTTTATTATTTCCAAACAACTATACATCTAAAATAACATTACATTTAAGTTTCATTGAAATCGGTACATTCGTTTAGGAGCTACAGTCTATAGCAAAGCAGGTTTTTCGGCCGTCATTTTGATAGTAAAAGGCGGATAGTAATGTCGATGAAGAAGGATCATCCTCGGGTGACTTCTGATTTTATATCCAAATTTGAAAAAAATCGGTCCAGTAGTTTCGGAGAAAATGTGCGGACGGAGGACGGCGTACGGACAAAAAAAATTGTATTCGTTTTTCGAATTCTATGCATCCTGAAACGTAAAACCTCAAATTTTGAGAGGGGGTTAAGTTTTTGAATATTTTGGTCGATCACAATGGTTGATTATTGAAAATAATAAACCAAAAGTTGAATAAGACTCGGATATAGTACATAACTATATGGAAATAATAAAACATTCTGTAATAATTTACTGAATTTTTTTAATCGACATATTTAAAGTTCTTTAAATTTGTCTGAAAGCAGTAGGAAAATTATGTGAGTAGGAATAGAGTTTCTATTATTATATTATTACTATTATTACATTTATAGAGATTGTATACAAAAAAGTGTGTACAAAACAATTGTATGTATATAACGAATAACATAATATATATACATATATATATATATAGATATATAAAGAATGAACGCACCTGGGGATTTGAAATACTCGCTGCTAGCGGATACGACGGAACCTTGCCTCCGTACGACCCTAGCGGACGCCATTCCCAACAAAGACTGACCAGTCCACGCTGATAAAAATACATGTAAATATATTTGTTTGGGGGGGCGTGGTTAGCTTGGTGATTTTCAGAGGAGAGGGGAGGAGCGTCGGTTCATTTCTATAAAATTTTGTCAGTTACGAAAAAATAAAACTTGTTTCGTTATTTAATAAAAAAAATAGCAGAACTTAGTCGAGGTCGAGCAGCAGATACAGGATTTAATCGGGAAAGATTATTTTAATTTTTTTTTTTTATTATTATTTATTATATATATTTTTACTATAAAAAATATGTCAAGAAAATTAAATGATTTTTAAGTGATCCTTAAAGGCAGGTTAAAAAAAAAAAAAAAATACACTTACAATGAAAAAAAGAATTTGTCTATTTTTGGAGAGAGAGGGGGGGCTTCAAGCTTTAAAGTGTGCGCAAGCTTTAAAAACAAAAAGCTTTAAATATTATTCAACAGTCAAGAAAATATAAATAAAACAAACACTCTCGGGGGCAGGGTGGTCGAGCGGGCTAACGCGTATGCAAAACACGCGTTGCCCGGCAACCAGATGGTTGATAAACCAAAGTTTATAAAATAATTACGAGTTCGATTTGTGCCGTGAGGAAAAGGGAGGCTCAACCCTGATATTAATCCCCCACCAACTCTACTGGCCCCGGAAAATCTCTGTATAGCCTAAAAGGAGAGGTAGAGGTGGACAAAAGAATAAAATAATATATATATACTCTCGAAACTTTCATATTAGTGTTTTAATATATCTAAAACAGATATAAAATACACACGCTCCTTCTGAAGACCGTCTCTACAAAGCTAAAGTGTATTATTTTTGGGTAAAATACGAGTAAAACAAAATTGAGCTAATTTCCATCAGACTATGGAACACCAAAACACCAAAATTAAGAGAAGGTACACCTTTTGTGATAATAATATATTGCGTGTTTTTGAGTTAATACAGATTTATTCAACTCTAATAAAGAAAATATCGAAGAATGTTCCATCCCAAGCGGAATTCGCTCTAGTGGACTAACGCATTCGCGATACAAGCGTTTCCTGGCAACCAAATGAGCTAGAGATTACGAGTTCGAATCCCGGTGCCAGGACCATTTGACTCTGGCATTAATCCTCCGTCGTCCCCTTCGCCTAGCTCAGGAAAACCACGTATAGCCAAAAAGGCGAGGTAGTAGAGAAAAGAGAAATATCGCATTCACATCTACCTAAATGATATTAAAGACTACTTAGTTATACAATGATATACCGAGTTTAATCAAAATTGTTAGAGCGTTTTTGAGAAAATTTTAAAAATGTGTTTCGCCATTGGTATAAAGTGGCACTTCCGGTTAGCCGATTTTAACGGAAAAGTTGCTGTCACATCCAAGGCATATACCTATCTCAAATACGTAACATCAGTTTCGTACAATTTTCTTTTTGAGGTAGACTGTTCACACACACAGACGCACAGACCTTTTTACCGGACTTGGTTATTTGGATTCTGGGTACATCAAAACGTGTATTTCCGTTGAAAACTTACGATTCGAAAATTTTCACGATCCCAATACTTTATATTACTATATATTACATAAGTAGGTAAATGAAATTAAAAAACTGTGGAAATTATAAAAAAATATATTTTTTTATCGTCTCTTAAGGCCCATTGAAATGAACATTAGGATATATGTGCAATTATTTTTTTATTTAAAATCACCAAAACAAATTTGGTAGAAATCGGTTAGCCATTGGATGTGACATCCCCATGCCTTGTTATGGAACAATGATTTGATTTCACAGAAGAAAAATTCATCAAATTGTTTACTATTTAATTTTATAAAATATTACTTAATTAACTAGTTTGGAGTAAAGTATAATATCTCTAATATCAACTATTATCTCTATTTGGTTAATTGTTTTATGGTATCAAGGTGAGACGTGCTGACTCAGATCTTCATTAATGGGATGTTATATTCTTCACTTCTGATGCCAGAAATAGTGAAACTTCATGGTCTGATTATTTATTGGAGAATTCAAACAAAATAACTTAAACTTTATTATTTTATTTTAATAAAATAATCATTTGACTAATTGTCATTAAAAAACAACAACATGAAAATAAAAATTTATAATCGTTTTGTATTAATTTAATAATTATCATCATACTCCAATCCCTCTTTACCGCTGCACAGTATGGGGATGCCCTCTATAGAGCATGGACCAATGCTCCTCTCCTGTACCAGCTGTCTTCTTGTTCCAGTCCAACCCTCGCTTCCTGAAGGCCTCATGTACTCCTTCCTCTCAGGTGATCTGTGGTCTTCCTCTAGGTCTTCTTTCCTTCACTCGTGTCTCATATGCTATCCTGGCCTTTATTTTCATACTCATCTTGAGGATGTGCATAACCATCTTAGTTTATTCTCTTCTAGAGTGGTTTCTACCGGCTGAACCTCAAAGTTTGATCTTATTGTTGTGTTGCGAATCCTTTCTCTCCTGGTCTTTCCTTCAAATTTTCTAACGTCCCTAATCTCAATTGTCAGGATCTCACCCTTGTGTTTAAAGGCCCATGAATTTACATAGCATAATCACACCAGTGATGGATATAGCTAAGGAAATTTTTGTCTGCTTTGGCTTATGCCACCGTAATTATTATAGTTAGAATCTCTAGGGCCTCCTTTTTCTATTTAACACTTTAAAATTGAAGAAGTATTTAATCTCTATTTAAAAAAAAACAAAAAACAACTTTTTGCACTAGTGATGGACACCCCCAAATTTAATTGTTCTAGTAATGGACAGGGAGTCAGTACCAGTAATGGACATACATCAGAGAAATTCTAAAATCTTATTGCAATATAAAACATGATAATTACAGTTATTTTAATTAATCAATTTGTTAATTTTAATTAATTTTAATTTTTAATAATTTTAATTAATCAATTTGTTAATATTTGGTTTATGGTGCAAACAAATATATATAAAAAATTAATCATAAATTCTTGAGATATGCTTACATAACAAGTAATATATTATTTATTTATAAATTTTATTACACGGCCTTATTTTCAATTCCTGGTATATTTATAAGTTATAATGGATAAATACATGTTCAACAGTAAACATGTATTTTTATTTTATTTTTTAAATATAATATATTTTTAAGATTTATAATACTGTCTTCTCGACTACTTCCAAGAAATACAATTATTCAGTTGATTTGATGAAAAAGTTCATTTTATGAACCTTAATGTCTGTACCACTAAATTTTTCTACAACCTTATAAGCAATTTTTGACCCTATAAACAGACTCCATCAGATTTTTGGTTTATTACTGTCAATAATGAACCATTGTATTTAATCAAGAAAACAAAAAGTTAATTTTAGTACTCAAAAAGTACAAACTTTTTGGTTAATTATATGTGTGTGTTATTTGAAAGATTAAAAAAAAAAAAAGTAATTATTGAAATCAGACAATTGGTGTAGAGAAATTGCGTTTTGAACTTTTTGAATCTGTTCTATTGTAAAGTTGGTTCTTTTTATTTTATGACTGAAAAACTTTCTTTTCTTTTTTATCGAAAAAGTTGATATTTTTATCTGAAGAATAATTTTATTTTTCAATTTTTTAAAACGAAAAGTTAATAATAAAAACCAAAGAGACAAATTTTTCAGAGAATAGAATAATTTGGAGAATAAAATTGTGTGACAAGCCACAAGTACTTATATGATTTATAAATATTTGACTGTATTTACAGTCAAACGTGAGCAAAAGATTCTATTGAAACTGTTAAAATCCATTAAGATGTCTAGTAATGGACAAGGTCGAGCCCAGTGATGGACACCCCTATCTAAGACTGATGAGAGATATTTTAGAGAAAAATACAAAAACACAACAAATTTTTGTAAAATTGTAGAGCACAGGTAATGGATGTGGGTATCCATAACTAGATTTGGGCCAATTTTTAATTCAGTGATGGACATCCGCTAAGTCATTAAAAATGTTAATATTGATTAAATTGGATGCTAAAATCGATTAGCTGAGGTTTTAAAATGGTAAATTGAATATTTTCATAGTGAAAACTCTTTTTTCATTGCCTTTAATTCCCTTGTGACCACAGACCCACACAAGTTCCACCCTCTTGGAGCAGGCCAGTGTCTTCAAAGCCTGTTTACACTCTTGCACCAGTGAAGAGGTCACTTTGGGAGAATCCAAGCACATTAAGTCCATACAAAAATTGTAAATAAAGAGAGTGAAATTTTCAAAACCTGAAAATTCTAAGCTAATTTTCATGTTTGTTTCTGCAATAACATTTCATATGAAATGAACATTTATTTGATTCAATATTGTGAAGAAGGACTATAAATAATGAAAGATAGGAACCTAATGTTGATTTATGTAAATCAAATGTTATAAGTGAATTGATAAAATAAGTGAGCTAGGATGATCCAAGACTTTATTGCGATTAATCTTCTTCCTAGAAAACCAGTGGGCAGCACAGAGGCTTATCCCAACTTTTAAAACTCTCCTTGACTCAGTTGAAGCCAATGCCTGACCAGTAATAAACGATTTATTTACTCGCTAATGTTGTATATTTGAAATAAGCTATCTGTGACTTTGAGACAAGAAATTCTCGTTTTTTCGAAGCCGGGACCATCTGGTAGCTTAAGTGTTTTATATGCAGTGATAGTTTAAATAAGAGAGAAATAGTGTTAGTGGAAGAATAAGGAGTTATAACCTACAAGTGTCTAGTAGTGCATTGAACAATAGAGATAACGAACATTTATTGAAACGTTTGACAGAGATTTATGTACAAACAGCACGCCAGAAACGTTAAACAACACTAAATTGATCAAAGCAGCTGTTAAACGTGGAGACACGAATGTGACAACAACAAGGTCTTGATAATGATTCAACTCTTTTCGAGGTTCTAATTTGTTTGCACGAAATAAAATAAACAATTTTTATTTATGTTTAGCACTATTACTGCAATCCCCTGACTAATGTTTCAAACATATTATTTATAAATATTATTATAAAATAGGAGCTATCCTTTCGTGGATTCCAATAAATTTAAAAATGCATAGAAAAAACAAACATTATTATAATATTATTTTAATCGCCTTATATACTGTAATTATTGTTGTTTTTACAATAAATATTTCTTTATTTTAAAAAAATAAAATAAGAATGACGAACATATACACAGTCATAAAATCCCTAAACATTCAGTTCACCTGCCGATGATAACATATGGTGTTTCCATCTGTTCTACGATGTCTGGTATACCATACCACAGCGCCGGAGGGAGGAAGAGAACAAGGAGGCCAGCTACCATGCCTGACAGTCCCATTAAAAAGACAGGCATACCTTCTCTCACTTTCACCTGTCATCAAGATTGGTAAATGTAATCATTTAAGTTCAATTTGATAACTATTAACTTATTTAATTAACTAGTCTGCCCTAGTGAGACCTCTCACATATTAGATAGCTATACCTCTACCAAATATATTCGTATAAGCGGTATAAGCAACATCAGGAAAATATGTTTATTCTATTATAAATTACCATGAAGGAAGTACAATTAATGAAGCTTCATAGTTTATTACAACTATGTTTAATAGCTAAGCAATAAGACACAGCGATCCCTGAAATTAAACAAATCCATCATTGTACTCGCTTAAGACCTATTTGTTTGGTGCGAAAGAGCCTTGGTTCTCAGTTCTCTCACTTACTAACAGTACAAAAGTCTATAAACTGTATAGAAGCCATATTTGGATTTATTATTGATTAAAAATACCAAAAAGTTTCTTTCTATATAATCCAAAGTGCACAAGGGATCATAGCATAGGTGCAGACTTCTGGAGGGAAGCTGACGACCACTCCCTAATAAAAATGTTGAGGGACCGAGAACCTAGTTCTGCGACAAACTAGTCGGAGTGTGAAAAAGGTTGTATTTTTATTTGAGGTTATACATACTAAGAAATCAAAGATATTTTTTCACTTTTTTGTACTATTCATTTTTTGCCGATAAAGTTCTAAAACTGTGCCAATATTATGAAGGATGTCTCCCCTCTCCCCTGTTTTTAGCCTAAACAAATACGGTATATATTCAATTGTATTTTTATTTTGATATTTTCAAGTATATATAACAAGTAAAACAAAAAAATAATAATAAAAATCCTTAAAACTATAAACAAATTAATTTTAATTATCCCTATCCATAACTGGTGCGTTCACTCTAAGTTAAATTTTTAAATATAATAAAAATTCAATTTTTTTTTTTATTGTTGTCCTCCCCTCCCCTCAATCAAAATAAAAAATCTGCGCCTATGGATCATAGATCTATTGTTAATTTTTAGTTTTAAATTTAATTTTTAAAATCTAAACACATAATAAGTATCCCATGTCTACCATAAAACCTAAGAGCCTTTTAGCAAAAATTACTATTTATTTGGAAAATTGTAAATTTTTATGCTTTAAAACTCGGTGCCCTGTATAGTATCTTTGGACCTTGACCAAATCAAAATCTTTAAAACATAATTTATCCCCTCTCTCGATATTTCAGGGAGGCTACCAGAAAGTTAAAGTGAAATTCCCTGACTTTTTCCTGACATTTCTCTATTTAATGATAGTTTTCCCTGACCAATATATCGGAGGACACAAATATTAATATGTATAATTTTTAACTAACTTCTCTTTAATATATTTACGGCAGTCAACTATCAATTTACTATTATAACTAAATTTATTTATTATAGATGAATGACAATTGACTAAAAAATTATTTTAGTAAAAAACCTTCAGTTTTTAAAATAATAAATATAATGTTTTAGAGGAAGCATTAGGAATTTTTATATCGGAAAGCTAAACTTTTAGTAATTTATTTTGATCGCCTATATTTTATTTTTAACAAGCTAACAGTGACATTATTGCTAAATCGAACTTTTTATTTTATTTCCCTTAATACCAACAGCAGATGAAAAATTTCAAAAATAAGAAACAAAATTATTAGCATAGTGAAATAACCATTTATTCCCATAGTTTTTGAAATGTCTAAACGCATCATTAGTTCTTAGAAAAAAATAATCGGATATAGCGATAGACAGTTCTCTTCGAAGGTTAAAATGACAAAGTTTATCCCCTTCAAGAACATCTAAACAATATCATCATCATCATCATCATGTGTGGCACGACATCCCGTTACCGAGACTGGGCCTCCTCCAAGAGCCTCCGCCAGTCGGCTCTGTCTTCTACTGCAGCTCTCCAGTTCCGTACACCAAGCAGGGTTCTCGCATCATAGGCCACGTTGTCCAACCAACTCGTCCTCGGCCTTCCTACCCGTCTTGCGAGGTGCAGCTCCTCCATCATTATTTTCTTGGGTATCTCAACGGTGCTCATTCTGGCCACATGCCCTGCCCACCTTAGTCTGGCCAGTTTAATATAGGTGACTACGTCGATGTCTGCATAGAGAGAACTGAGCTCCCTATTTTTTCTTTTCCTCCAGACATCACACTCTTTTACTGGACCATAAATCCTTTTGAGGACTCCTCGCTCAAACACACTCAGCTTCATCTCATCGTTTTTGGTCATCGTCCAAGCCTCTGAGCCATATGTCAAAACAGGCCGAACAAGAGTCTTGTATATGATCAGCTTGGTCTTCTTTGAGAGGTACCTACTTCTTAAGTGTCGGCCAAGTCCAAAGACACATCTATTGGCAGCCGTGATCCTTCTTTGTATTTCTTGAGCCATGTCATTTTTGCTATTAATTTCAGACCCAAGGTATATAAAACTTTTCACTCTCTCAAACTTAAAAGAACCTACCTCAAATGGAGAGTTCAGATCCACCTCACCACCAACTCTCATATACTTAGTTTTCCTCTCGTTGACTTCTAGACCAAGTGGTCTTGCAGCTGCTTCAAGGCCTATAAACGCTTCTCTGAGAGCCTGTTCAGACCTACCTATTATGTCAATATCATCAGCAAAACCAAGAAGCTGTGTCAGGCGATTGAAGATTATATCGTTGGTCTGAATACGGGAGTCTCTTACAGCTTTCTCCTCTGCCAAGTTGAACAATAGACAGGCGAGGGCATCCCCTTGCCTAACCCCACTGCTCACTTTAAACTCTTCGGAGTCGTCAGAACCGACGCGTATTCTACATCAAATAAATATAAACAATACGCGTATAAACAATATACACTATATAATTATTTTCAATTTGAAAAAAATATTGACGTACTGAAAAAATTCCCTGACTTTACCATTTTTTCCCTAACTTCTGCCTGAATTTTCTGTGTTTAGGAAATTCCCTGACTTTTCCCATTTTTCCAGGTCGCTTCCCACCCAGTATTCTCATTTATATTAGAATAACTTTCAATCAAAACAGATAATTAAAATAAACTTATAAAATAGGAGTTTTCATAATTCTCTTACAAGCTTGGCAGCGTTAGCTGTGCACAGGAGACCTAGGTTCATGTACATGTTGGCCCAGCCAGCCCCGAGTGCTCTCATCTTAGTAGGGTAAAGTTCGGTGACGCAGGTCAGCAAGTTGGCATTCGTCATCGACATGAAAAATCGAGCAAACACCAAACAATAGGGTATACCATCGGACATCCCTATAACACAATCAGTAAGTCTTATCGATCGTCAATTATAGCTGATCGTATTAAAATTAGTTTAATTCCAGACCTGGAAGGGCGTTAATGAATAGGCACAGTACTCCAGCAGACATGGATGAGAAAAATATGACAGTGGTGGTGTTGATCCATGAACGCCCCGAGAGACCGAGGCAAACCGAAGTAGCTGTGAATTCAACTATCCCTGCAATAGATTGTAATATAAACCTTTATTGGAAGATGGTAAAAATGGTTTAGTATAAACCAATATATATAAAATAATTAAAAGGCAAGCTAATCTAGTTCTCCTAATGTCAAGGGATGTTTAAATTTGAAAAATAGTTTCACTAGTGAAGGGAAAAGAAAATGGCTGCTCTGCATTTTCTCCAGAAGGAAATTCACAAAGAGGGGAGGAACAAAAAAGAATTTTTGTTTTGGCAGGCAGTTGTTGTTTGGCTGGGGTCAATGATTGTTTGGAACTACAAGAGAGAGGATGTTCAAGGAAGCTTGAGTTGAGTAGATGAAAGTGTTACCAATTTGGAAGGTGTGTTTGGCAGAACTTTTTGAATACAAATGAATTCCGTGCCACAAAGGAAGAAACAGTGAATATAGAAAAACGGTTAGCTTGTCAATTCATACTTGATTTTATTTTAAAATCAAACAGTGTAAATGATTTTAGTCTGTCTGGGTCTTTTGATTTGATTGTCAATAACCTGAGATAAAATAATTATAAAGTTCAGTTAAATATATCAATATTCTTATAACTTTGTTTTTTATTTAACAACCTCTTATTTCTTTTGAAAGTATCGCTGCAATATGAAGTGATCTGCCAGGAGCATTATATTGTTAGTTAAAAACATAAGAGATATTAAAATATAATAGAACTAAAGACATTTATAATTGTATTTTTAATGCTATTATGATAAAAGTAACAAAAATAATAAATTCAACTAGTTGGCCAGTGTGAATAATTCTTATAGTATATTGGTCAGTAAACAATTGACAATGTAATATGTGATAAAGAAAATAATTTTCTTTTTATCATTCTAATCACATTAATTCATTCAAAATAATAATCCCAAACATCTGTACCATACTATAGGTAGTATCTTTGTTAATAATGGTTTTATTTGTTTTGTAAGGAATTTAATAATCTTTCAAATAACCATGAGTGTAATCAACAACAAAAAAAATATATACTTTTTGAGTTATTTGCAAATAAATTTTCTTTTTTTTCCTGATATTACTAGAGAATATGACTATAATTTTTCACATTCCCATGAAATCCTATTTTGTTTGGTTCCTCATTCATCAAAATCCAATACTACTAAGAGCCTAAAAAGGGATCTACATAGCGAAAAACTATTGTATGATAAAAATAATTTATTTATTACTGTTATTTATAATTTACTATTTAAATAATTATTTTAAAACACAATCCTTACGGCGAGGTCTTGTAGTTTACACAGAAGTAAGTACACTTGATTACTAGACAACATGGGTGATGTGAATTCACTGACATGATATATTAGTGGGACCGGAAAGTAATGTAGCTTTCTTATATTAAATTCAAACGCATACATTTCAGACGAGTTTTTATTTTTAATCATTAATGGAATCATCCTCATTAACACAACCTTTTGCCATCTAGTGTGCAAATTTTCAATGTAGGATAGATAAAAATCAATTGTTTTTGAGCGAAATATATAGAGATGGCATATTGGACATCATTCAAATTTGCAAATCATGTTCGATAGGAGTCAGAAAGATCAAAATTGTTGGATTTTTATTTGAAAAACCACCTTTGACATTTAGGAACGTCTAATGCATTTGAATGGGGCCGTGGTGGTCAAGAGAGTTAAGGCATCTGGAAAAATATATTCAACACATAGAGATTATTAGATTTTTATCGAAACCGAAATTCATAAGTTCAAATCCCATTCACGGGAACAAAAAAGATAATAATTAATAATAAATAAATAAATATAAAGATTTCAAGTGCTACCTGATTACTTCGACCACTACGGCACGGGTTCAATTCCCGAGTGGGAATGGTAACGTCCCCACCCAAAGATTCACCGGGAGGTGAGCAACTCATGTGTCTTACACCAGGGCTCAGAACCTATCTTGGAAAAAACACCTTATTAAGTAACCTAAACTAAGCCTAAAGGCGTCAAAAGATCTACATAGTCTGTAATGCTAACAGCAAAAAAAAAAAAAATGCATTTGGATGAACACCGCAAATGTTTTTGGTAACAACTGTTGCATTATTATCCTTGCAAAACTCAAAAAGTATGCAATGCCTCTTTTGGTATTTGGCTGGTCATTTCACCGAAAATTGCAAAAACAAATTTTAAATTTAATTATTATCAACTAAAGAAGTCACTATAACCTTAGAATGTTTTTGTCACGACATAGATGTACACAATGAGCTGTCCAAAGATGAGCGCAGGTCACTATTTGAAGTGCGGGTATCAGAAGAGGGTCCTACCTAACCCGAAGGTCTTAACCGACCCTCAACCTCACCTCACCCTCCGACAACAGTCCAGTGCCAGTACCCAATGGCACACACGGAGAGGACAATTCTATCCATGTTAGCTTTCAATCACTCATCAGCACACTGAAACCAGATTGCTGGTCAGACTTAGATCACAACACTGGTATCGTACAGTGGGTAGCTGCAAACAAACGAGCACTACATCCTTCACATCTGACAGTGCCAGGCACTCCCGATATCCACAGACTGCATTGCCAGAACTCCAGCAACGCCCTGTAGTACCAATTTGATCAAATAAAAATAATATAAAAAAAGATTTTATTCGAGCTCAGAGCATAATTGGTCTTAGGCTCCACAGACATCAATAAATGAAAGATCGCTATGGCTTAACATCAACCACCGATATCACAAGAGGGTATTAGAAAATCCATGATCAATGAGGGACGACAAGAACGACAATCAAATAGTGACACTCAAAAACAACATTACTTTTTGGTCCCCCTAATACACGAACAATGCAACTTTAGCATGTATTAGGTAAGCTAGGATGAAATTCATGTATAGGATAAGACTAAAGATAAAACTCCTTTTATTATATGCTGATAAAAAAGATATTGTAATGTAAATATTACATAGTGATTTTAAATAGTGGCACGAAGGCAGTGACATGACTTCACCAACTACTGTCAAACATGGATGGAAGGGGAAGCAAGTGGGAAGTAAAACAGATATATATATACATTTTTATTATTTTTTTTTTTTTTCCTTTTTTTCTTCTTTTTTCCTTCCTTTCATTGTTCATGTTTTTTTTTATTTTTTTACATTTAGTTTCCCTTTCTCTCACTTTTCTCTCTTTATCTCTATTGTTTTCAATTATTCATTAAATAAATACATAAATAACTTAAATAGAAAATGTTATTAGTTAATAATAAATATTACCTGTAAACAACACAGTACGGTACACATCAACGGTGTACATGCCGTTCAACCTTAAGACAATTCCATAATAAGCAAAATAAGTGCAGAAAAAGAGGAACGGGGTAGTTTTTGATAGTTTTTTCATGACAGGTGTAGCATACAGATCTTTCAAGTGTACTCTTAATATTTTATCTGGCACCAGCATCGGTCCCTTCTGAATGAAAGCATCGTTAGAGTTGTATATTAAATAAAACATTATTTAAAATAAGATAACTTGATTGTTTACAAACCGTTTTTATGTTATGAACAACATCATGGGAAAGTGTTTGATGTCCGTTTATATGGGAAGCATCTTCAAGGAGATGGATTAAATTGTGTATATCTTTTTGAACCCAGAGCCATCTGGGAGATTCTGGCATCACCCTAATAAAATAATTATAATATTGTTAAAAATTAGTTTAAAAAGGAAAGGAATAACCAAATAATATATGAATAATGTACAGTGGCGGCCTTAAACATTAGGAGCCACCAGGTAATGACATCATCTCCCCCCATGCCAAAATTAAATTAATTTCTAAAGCTGTTTTATATTACGTAATATTTGAATTTTATTTCATTCAATGTTTCTCTAATAGAGTTGGTTTATTTACAGGCTAAAATTAATTATTTGTATTTTTTTTTTTTTTAAACTACTAGCGGGCACTCTTGAAGATCAGCCGGTGCCCCTAACGAGCGCCCTTTTCAAAAGAAATCCTAATGCTCTGAAGAGATCTATCAATGATAATAACGTCATTTGTATGGGGCAGAAAGAACTTGGGTCATTTTCATAAATATTGTTCCTTCCTGATTTAATGCTGCTCTATTTATGATTGCTTGTAGAGCGATATTAAACAGGGCATGAGAGGAGCTATTGAGTTCCTCTATCTTAGGCCACTTTCCACTTCAAAAGGCTCTGATAATCCATAGAATTTTACTCGACAGATCGTGCTCACTATTGTGCATTTTACTAATCGAGTTATTTTAGAAAGCAGTGCCAGTTCATGCGTGACCAATAAGTGTTCACTCCTGACAATTATAACATAGACAGAGGATGAAAATTTCCATTTTAAAAATATTTAATTACATAATTACTGTAATGACGCCCTTAAATTCCTTTTCAATTAGTAGGACACAATGGGAAAAATTTAAGATCTTATTTTCTGCCAGGAGATAGATTTAGTCTAAAATTATAGGTAAAGAATAACTTGTAGTAGATAGCCCCCTGTATTTACTCCTTTATGTGACAGTGTGTGAGGGTATGAGAAGGAATATATAATATATAGGAATGTGAGGTTGCACTGTGAATTTTACTCAATTGTACAGTGGACAAATTATTCATTGAAAAGTCTCATATCGAAAAATAATTGATGAAGAAGGAAGAAGGTGGGAGGTACCGGAAGGACCCAGCAGGTAGCAAAAGCTGGAGAGAAGAGAAGGCATTCTAGGCCAGAACAGGTAGAAAGAAGGTTGTTAGAAGAGAAGAGGATGGACTAGAGGCTGGAGATTGAGGCGGAACACATGCTGCGAAGAGAGACTACTACAAGATTTAGAAGACCAAGTCTATAGTTATAACACTTTAATAGAGTCAATTTATTATAGTTGTAGAAATAAATTATTTTATTATACAGGAGTGATAATCATTTTATTTAGTTGTCCTATATGCCTCATGATTGAAGAATAACAAACCAGGTGAGTCAATTCATTCAAAGTGTATTTACTAAGTCCCACATTTCAAATATATATATTCTTATTGTTTCTTCTCACTCAATGTCACAAAAGGTATTAGATTCTCGAATTCCCAAAGACAGTTAAACACCCTCAAAAAAGCCTATATCCAGTGCTGGGGATTTGTTTTAATATTCAGGAGTGTAGACAATCTAAGTTCCCCGATATATAAACGGAAGGCTATTCGCCTATTCCCGCCAAAACAAATCATTTAAAATTAACTTTCAGTAGGTTATTTACAATCTTATGGTGTTATTGAGAACTTATCGATAGATAGATTGGTTTTGGCACATCTTTATTGTTTGAAGTACTTCATGAGAAATGTCAGAAGATAGATCAGAAAATAAAATATTGTAATGTACACTTTTATTGGAAGTGAGCAAAAAGGTTTTAATAAATCAATGTTGAACAATTAAAAGGCAAGCTAATCTAGTTCTACTACGGAAAAGAAAATGGTTGCTCCGTAATTTCCCAAGAAGGAAAACCCCAATGAGGAGAGAGACAAAAGTTTTTGTTTTAGCAAGCAGTTGTTGTGCAACATCAGTGAAGATAGGATTGGAGAAGTGATCCTGGTTTGGAAGTTGTTGTTTAGCAGAGAGACTAGTTGTTTGGAATTACAAGAGAGAGTATCTCCCAGATAGCTTGAGTTGAGTAGAAGAAAGTGTCACCATTTTGGAATATATGTTTGGCAGAACATAGGAAAATGTTAGAAGACAAATGAATTTAGTGCAACAAAGGAAGAAACAGTATATATAGAAAAAAGGTTAGCTTGCTAATCAATACTTGACTTTATTTTAAAATCAAACAGTGTTTAGTGTAGTTAATGTTAGTTTGTCTGAGTGTTTTGATCTGATTGTCAGTATCCCACATCTGAGATAAAAAGAGAGAAACACTTTATTTTCATAAAATATAAAGGATTGCTGCCCAATTATATTGGGTTGCTATATACACAGCATACTCTTCTATCCTTAGGACAATATATGAACTTATATATAAATATACAGAAGTATTAGTTAATATTAGTAAAATAGATATATATATATATATATATATATATATATATATACACATTTTTATTATTATTATTTTTTTCCTTTTTCCTTCCTTTCATTGCTCATGCTTTTTTTAATTTTTTTTTTTAACATTTAGTTTCCCTTTCTCACATTTCTCTCTCTTTATCTCTATTGTTTTCAATTATTCATTAAATAAATATATACATAAATTAAAACTTATACATAAATAAAATTTTGTTTATTATTTAATAACCAAATATTTATTTAGAAGGGAGTGGGGTAGCTCAGTGGTAGGGAACTGAGCTTCTAATGCAAAGGTCCCAGGTTCGAACACCGGCTCATGGCAGAAAATTTATTTATCTGTTTCATTAGCCGCGTGGTGTGACCATGGGTTGAGAGTCCCTCCTGGGGCACACCCAGCCTCTATAAAGTGGGTACCCTTAATTAAATAATTAATTAAGGGGGAAAACCTGGCGGTTGAGCGTGATCTCGGTCAAATCAACTCCTTGCACAACCGTTGACCTAGAAACAGTACTTTCCCTAAATAGTACTGAACCCCAGACCCTTCATGGGTTGTAGTGGTACAGGTTTTTTTTTATTTTTTATTTATTTAGGAAGTATCCCAAAAGTATAAAGTGATCTTTCGAGGTTATATCATTATTATTTGTAAAACATAAGAGAGATGTTACAATGTATTGAGTCACAGGAAATATTTTATCCACTTACCACCAGGTTGCCAGGAGTGTGATTGAAAGAAATGTTACAGCATAGTGAAGATGACGCCATTTTTCAAAATGTTGAGCTAGTACGGCTACAATAATGTATCCAAGGGGATAAGAATACATGTAAGAGGCGCCCACAAGTCCCATCCAATTCCTACCAGTAATCTCTTGGCCTATAAAAAAAGAAAAAAAGTTATTTTTCATTTATGTTTACATAAAATCTTTTTATTTTTTACAGATTTTATTTTGGTTTGTTATCTATTCAGTGTTGTTAAATGATAAATAATTTTTTTTTTGTAACCTAGAGGAAGATGGTTGATGTAGTTATAAATATATCCACTCACACCAGATTGGTCAGGATATATTTTTCATGTAAACTACGGTTTTACAAATAAAGTGCCAATAAAAAGGATCTACAGATGTATGAACTTTAATCTCGTTGAACTTACAAAGAATGACATTGGCAAAAATGTTGCCCGTGGTGACGAAGCCCTGAATCATTCTCAATATCAAGTAGACCGAATACCAAGGAGTGATGGCGGTCATGAAGCTAACCATTGCCTGCACGCCTTGGGATATCAGGAGCAGCTTCCTCCGACCGATCCTGTCTGAGGAAATAATCAACAATTATATATATAAGATTAATGAGGTATTATTTAAACTGATCAGATCGATTCCATATACCTGTCAACATAGTAACCAGTCATTATGCTGCCGATGCAACCACCAATTGCGAACATAGATTCGGCCAGGCTAGTAGGCGATATTTTCTCGCAGGGCAATTGCCACTGAAAAGTTTCATTTTGTAAATGAAAAATTAAAGATTTAATTATTTATTAATTATAATATAACAACATAAATTATATTTTGGGGTGGTCAGTAAAAAAAGAAGGCAAAAATAAATGATAATATTTATTTTTACATGTGCCGACGTTTCGACCTAAAGGTCAGGCCATTATCAGGGCTAAGAAAAGAACCAGATAACAAGGTATGAGAAATATAAAAATTACAGTAAAATGAAGTTGTTAGAATAATGACAATAGTAAGAACAAAGAAATAAATGATAATAAGCGGTACAAAGTGTGGAATGATGAAGTAAACATAGTCAAAAAATGTGACATGAGTATTGTAAAGGGAATCTTAGAATAAAATGTAAAACAGAAAAATATGAAGTTATATAAGAAATGGAAATAAATAGTAAAATTAAGATATAGTGAATAGAATATTTAGATAGAAAATTGAGATGTTGTGAAGTCTATCAATATGTACAGACAAAGTACGAAATAATAAAGAGTTAAAACAGAGAAAAGGAATGAAAGGAAGGAGGAGAGAAACTGAGAAGGTTGAAATAAGAAAGAGAATAAGTAAGAGAAATGGTAACAACCTGACTGCTCTAAGGTAAAGATGCAATGCTCATGTTATTGAAGGATGGAGGTGGATAGAGGGGATGTATAGTGGTGTCATCTTTAACGGTTATCTGACCAAGTTTGAACTAACGTATCGGACGCGTAAATAAGAACGAGAGATATATTATTCATAAATATTAAGGAATAAAACGAAAGTTGATGGAAAGAGGCAATAAAATAGTTTAAAATAAAATAAATTAATAAATAAATTATAAATAAATAATTTATAAATTATAACTAAATTTTTAATACATTTAAATAGTTGATAGAAATTCTGGAGAGGCAATAAAAAATAACTGTTGAGTAATAATGGTGTTAATATCTTAATTTTACTATTTATTTCCATTTCTTATATAACTTCATATTTTTCTGTTTTACATTTTATGTAATGTCACCTTTTTTGACTATGTTTACTTCATCATTCCACACTTTGTACCTGTTATTATTATTTGCCTCTTGTTCTTACTATTGTCATTATTCTAACAACTTCATTTTACTGTAATTTTTATATTTCTCATACCTTGTTATCTGGTTCTTTTCTTAGCCCTGATGATGGCCTGAACTTCAGTCAAAACGTCGGCACATGTAAAAATAAATATTATCATTTATTTTTGCCTTCTTTTTTGACTGACCACCCCAACTATTCTTCTCTTCATTATTCACGACAGTCAACCATTTACCATTATAAATTATATTTTATATTATAGAATAGAATAGAATAGAAAAATAATTTTACTCTGGGAAGAAGTCCCTTCAGAATAACAAAAAAGTACAGAAATTAAAATTTTATATCTGGCCAGATAAAAACAAACATAAAAAGTTAAGATTAAGATAAATCAGTAAAAAAAAAAAAAAAAATATTAGTTATACATACTATATACAAAATAAAATAAAAAAATCTATATACAAATTGCTGCACTTTATTTATTGCCGCACGGTATATGGAGGCGTCTCTGGGGATCTCGAGGTGAAACTAAAACCTTTCATAAATTGCTTTGTATGATTCATCTTCGGGATCCCAAGAGACGCCTGTTTCCTGTTTCTATGAAGAGTTGAAGTGGCTTTATCCTTCCTACCGCCGTAAGTATTTCCTGGCATCCTTCCTCTTCCAAGTAATTCACTCCCGCCGTCCTTCATACATCGCCGAGCTCCTTCAATTTAAATCCTCTGTCCACTCCCGCAATACCCGTTCCCGGTCTTCAGATTTATATATAATGGCCCACCGAACCGCTGCTTTCGATAAATCTTTTATTATTCGATCCTCTTCCCTATGGAACTCCATCCCTCCCCACATCCGTCAATCCAAAACCCTTCCTACCTTTAAATCCCAACTGTTTAATCATTTCTTATCCATCCAGTCATCATAAAATTGTAAATAGTTACTACTGTAAATATGTATATAAATTATTAGATCGTTCTTTATTTTTTTTACTTCATGTTTATTTTCAATTGTTTACCTTTTATTATTAACTGATGTAAATTAGAAAGTAACTTATAATTTCTCTTATTATTTTTTTTCATTTATCTATTTTTTTTTGACTATTTAATCAAACTATATTCTTCTTTATATATCTCTGAGGCTCCTTAGACCACATTTTTGTCTCTATGTATTATGCTAAAGGGACTCATCCCAGAATAAATAAAGCATTATTATTATTATTATTACAAAACTCTAGAAACCATAATAAGATACTTAAAACTATGTACAATGGTAAAATATAAATAAACCCTTTTAGAAAAAATAAAAAATACAGAAAAAAATAAATGTAAATTCTTCTTAACAGTAAAATCTGTGTTTCTGTTGAGAAAAAAAAAAAAAAAAAAAAAAACAAAGAAAGTCGAATCTATAATAAGTATTTAAGTTATGAGCTATATGTGAATATATTGTTATAAATAATATGTAATTTTACATAAAAGGTTAGCTGGTATCTGACTGTTTTTGGGACAGGAATTGGAATAGGAGGGTTCTGAATGTAGATAGGGATGAAGAAAGTCGAACTCGAAGAATGTTCAGATTATACTAGCTGATGTGCCCATCGTTGATGGGTGTGTAGTTAAAATTTGAGAATCTTTTTTGAGATGGATATTGTATTATGGGGAGATCCAAATTTAATTTCATAATATTGGGTGGAGGAAGGAGGATAATTTTAATTTTGAGGAGTTTTTCTTCCGATTTTTGGCTAATCCGTTTGGTTAATCCGAAAAATATATACATTTGTTAGGCTAGGGAAAGTGAATCGAATGACACCTTGAAAGGGAAGATTGGACAAAGTTGAAAAATTAGTGTGTTTTACATGTGTTTAAGCGAAAATGCGTTACAGATGTTGGGGATTTCGGATTTTTCCTGTTGAGTTGTGATGAATTTTTCCATCAGTTGAAGAGTAAAACTTTTAAATGTGGCTCACGGTAGATTAGGTTGGAAAATCCAGGCAGACAAAAAATCTGTTAAAAGTGGATTTGGTGTCTGTAATGTATGGAACGGAAAGATATCATGAAACGGATTGATTCTATTAAATGTACAGAAAAAATATTTATTTTATTTATATAGATGATCTTTAACCTATAAACATATGTTTATTATTAACATTTATCCTCAACATTAACCGAGATCTCTAGACAAATTACTCAAGAATTCATAACTTTGTTTCTACTCAATATTTTGTTTTCATTTAAAGCCTATGTTTTAAGTCAAGCAAACCTTAGTATAATGTCACAATTCCAAAAGTCTACCCCGTATAAGCCGTTGCTGAGCTTACTCCTGACAAAGTTCCGTTGCAATGTGGACATACAGACAGACAAAATTTTTTTTAAAGTGGATTTGGTGTCTGCAATGTATGAAACGGTAGGATATCATAGAACGGGTTGATTCTATTCAATGTACAGACAAAATCTTTATTTTAATATATAGATATTCAAAAGTAAATTAAATTAAAACCACATTCTCACCTCAGACACTATGGATTCTTTAGTATGGCCGTACTCCCAATTATCGCAACTAATATCTGGTCCAATGATCATCCATGTCTTGGGATTTTCTGGGTCCAGGCTATGGTAGTTAAGGTTCTTGAGATGGCAAGGATCATAACCACTTTCTTCCTATTCGAAATTTCTATTATCTTTTTTTTTCATAAGCATCAAAATTAAATTGATAAGTCTTTCATCAATTTTGGTAGTGTGGGGTAAGTACAACCAGGTTTATTTTTTTTTCATTTTTAAACTGTTACTGTGAGGTAACTATCAGGAATACAGAAATACAACTTAGCATATAGTATTTAGCGTTATCTGGCTAAAATATCCTGCTATTAGAATATTTTTATCATTTTCTGTAAATTTAAAAATATTTATGTATAAAATATCACACTGGTTGCAGTTACCCCATACATCCGTGGTAAGTGCAACCTCACTCTAGGATCCTCCATAAGAGGCAATACAAATGACAGTGGGGAGGATGTGTTGTGGCTTGTTTTTCACTGATTTTGTCAATATTTTTTTCATTTTTTTATCTTAAACCGTTTGGGAGATACGAACAATTTCGTGAGTCAACGAGGGGATAAACGGAAAAATGGGTAATATTTAAAAATCAGGTTTTTGTGAGATTTCATGATTATATTTATTTAAACTGAGAAAGATTTACTATGGGGCAGTCTCCGTGGCTGTACTTGCCCCGTGTACAAAAATGATGGGGCAAGTGTAGCCGTGGCTCTCTTTTTTAAATTATTAACCTATTACCAAAATAATATATATTTCTGAAAACTACAAATTAAACTTTATAAAAATACGAAGTTTGGTTATCTTGAATTCAAGTCAAAAATACCAAAGTTTCATGGTCAAACTTTCATTGAGTGCGAAAATTTAAGTATTTAAAAAAACAATATATATAAGCTGGATTTTCTCGTGCTCTTTGGTGGACATTTAAAGAAAATGTTCTAAAATTATTAACCAATTTTTTTTTTTTTTTAAACCGGAGGTGGGCAAACTTAACCCATAGTTGCACTTACCCCACTTCACCCCATATATGGTATGGTATAATCATTAAGAATTTAAATAAATGTTGCATATAAGAAATTCATGATATTGATAAGAAGAAAGCAAGAAAATATAATATATACATAAATTATCATTTTTATTATATTTTCCTTATTCCTTTTATAATTTTATGAATAATTATAATTTTATATAAAGAAGGCAAGATTGAATAAAGTCAAGTTTAATTGCAATAATATTTTGGCATTGCCTATGGTAAAAAGTATAAAATTCAAATTTCATGAGGAATTGAGTTAATATCAAATATCATTTTCTTTTTTGTGTTCAATATTTTATATGTCCTAAATTTAGCTCTAAATAAAATGACTGAAAATAAAAAATTATAATCGCTCTGAGGATGTTGAAATGAATAAAAAATAAAATCAAGTGACTCATTTAAAAATTTGTCTTATACATGTGAACTTTTTGAGACAAATCAAATAATAAATTTAAACAGAAACCAGATTTCTTACTTTGAAACAATTAAAATTTGAACTGAAGATTACATTTCCAAAGTAAATATACCTGCGATAGACAATTTAAAGATAAATTTTTAACATTAATGTGAACTACAGCTTTAGTTCTGTGTTCAATATTCGTGAGTCTTTACAAACATTTCATTGTGAATAAACTTAGTCTTTTATCGATTTAGTTTTCTATACAGTCAATTAGTTAATTATTCATAAAAAAACCCTGAAAATTCTTACTGCGTATATCAGTAATAGACACTCAGGGTCAATAGGTATTTAAAAAAATTCTGGGACTGGAGGGCAGATGAAAGGAGATGTTGGACCTCTCTGACGCAATTGTGGCCCAAGAGTCAGAAACTGCAACTCATGTATTGTGCGAATGTCCGAATAACAAGCTCCTTGTCCCCGCCAGCACGATTAAAGAATTGAATTGCCAAATTCAATAAATAGTACAGATCCTTTGTTGAAGTATATTGCCTTGATAGGGAAGGCTCAGCTAGATTCGTAGATATCTTAGCCTTTAGTGCGAAAGGAAAAGAGCTCTAATAGTTGATCCTACAATTATATTCGAAAAAAAAAAAACGATTAGGATCAAGAACTGATAATACAAAAAGAAAAAGAGAATATTCGTGGGTTGATGGTTGACTGCAGAGAATAATTGAAGAGAAAAATGGTTGAGATGATCAGTCAATATAAAAATAGCAAAAATAAATAATATTTATTTTTACATTTGCTGATGTTTCGGCCGAAGTTCATGCCTAAGAAAATAACTAGATAACGATATTTATGAGTGAGAAAATATAACCATTGAATAATAAAGAATTAAAATTAAAAAAGGTGAAAGGTATAGACTAAAAAATGTAGGCAGAAAAAATTTAAAGTAAAAGGAAGTAGATAGAGTGAACAATAAAGTAAAATAAAGTAGGTAGAATATTAACAGTAACAGAGAACTAAGAAATAAATAATAATAACAAGAACAAAGCACGGACCAATGAAATAAACATATTCAAAATAAAGTAACATAAGAAATGAAAAATGGTAATCTTAGAATAAAATTTAAAACAGAGAAAAGGAATATGAAGTAATATAATGAAATAATAGATATAAAGGGAAAATTAAGAGATTGAAAAATCTATCAAAAATACTGACTACAAGTATAAGAAAATAAAAATTTAAAATAATGTAAAAAAGATGAATAAGAAAATTTACCAATATATACAAAATAGAGACGGAGATATGGTAAATAGAAAACTAAGATAAGAATGTTTATTTTTATTTTTCTAAGAACGTTTATATCTCCTTATCTATTTTCTATATATTGTTACATTTTCTTATTCATCTTTTTTACATTATTTTAAATTTTTATTCTCTTATACACGTAGTCAGTATTTTTGATAGATTTTACAATCTCTTAAGTTCCTGTTATTATTATTTACTTCTTAGTTCTCTGTTCCTGTTATTATTCTACCTACTTTATTTTACTTTAATGCTCACTCTATCTACTTCCTTTTACTTTAAGTTTTTTCTACCTACATTTTTTAGTCTATACCTTTCACCTTTTTTAATTTTAATTCTTTATTATTCAATGGTTATATTTTCTCATATCTATTGTTATCTGGTTCTTTTTTCTTAGCCCTGATGAAAGCCTGAACTTCTCGGCAAATGTAAAAATAAATATTATTATTATTCTCTTCAAAAAGATAATATCTTTGAAAAATGCATTCCATACCTTCAGAAGAAATATAGAGAATTTGGTGAGTGAGAATTTTAGATTCGAGGACTTTGGTTTGGAAGTGGAGGAACATTTCCGCTTTCAACTGCTAATTTCTTGGAAAAACTGGATGTGGAAAGAAGCCATCTGCAGAGCATGGCAGAATCTATTAATATGGACTCACTCGGAATTCTGCACCATCACTTATATTGATTCTGGCCACCGTATTATGAGCTCTACTGACAGAAATATGAAAGAAGAGAAAATTATAGATTCATTCCGGAATAAATTATAACATTTGATACTTTGGATGATAAATCCACAGAGATTTATCCCTTTTTTTATTCTCTCTCATTACATATTGTCTATTAGGACTGATCAGTATGCTGAAAGTTTTAGCAACATGGTTGGCCAACTGTACAACTTTATTTATTTCTCTTTATCAATAATTAAAAAAAAAAATAATAAACTGCACAGTTTTAAACTAAGCTATGGCAAACTACAGATGAAAGAATCAGAACTTCAAACTTATCTTCTAAACAAAAGTAATAAGAAAACCTCCCTGAAACTAACAGCCTGCTTAACTCCATTAAAAAATCAACTACCAATTCCCTATTGTGAAATATCACTTGAGGTTCATGCAACACTTTCCTAAGTCTTTAAACTCTGAATCTACTCATATTTGCACTCTCTTTGAGCCTATAAAGCTTAGCATTAGTTAATAAATAGAAAACTGTCTATACTGGTACAGTGTCTATTACTGATATACTTACCTTAAAGCCAATATTTATAGGATACAAAAAAAAAAAAAAATGGATATAAACTAGCTAAATGAAACTAGAGTCAAAGATAATAATAAAACATAACAATTTTTACCAACTAAAATATTCCATATTAAATTTAGCGTCTTAAGTAAGGAGAGCAGTGATGTAAAATGGAACAAAAAAAAAAATAGTTTTTAAAACAAATTTCCGAAAAATGAGTTGTTAATCTAAAAATTAAGGTGAAAAATTTGATCTCATTTAACTATAGATTTTATTTCTTTTAAATATATACGATCTAATATTCAATTACTTATCCAAATACGATCCTACAGTATGTTCATGCCACTATCATCATGAATGAATAAATTAATGTTTTAAATTGACAAAATAATTGTGTACTTCCACTCGAAAATAACCGCTTAAGTTTGAGCTGCAGTAGAATTCAAGGATTAAAGAATAATAAAATAGGTTCATAATTAGCTTTAAAAAAAAAATAAATAATCAGGTATCTGTAGAGAGAAGATCGGCAAAGATCGGTCACTCTCGGCTTAACATCCGATCTTCCTATATAGCTATACATTATACCACATACATTCCTGCGCTTCCTACATCTCCTTTATTTACCAATTTTCTTTATTCATTTTTTATATTAGTTTCCAATGTGAAATTGTTAATTATGTTATATAAAAAAAAAAAATTTACAGAAAGAAATTTTGAAAATTAGGTATTTAAACTTTGATAGAGAAAATCAATGATAATAAAAACCGTTTAATTTTACACTGATATAATGAATTTAATCAAAATCTTTAGAGCCGTTTTTTTAGAAAATTATAAATATGTGAAAAATCATGATGTTATGTGCGACTTCCGGCGAGTCGATTTTGACGATATAATTTCTGTAACATTCCAGGCAACTTAAAATAAAGCTTTAAATAATGAAAATTTAAAATAGTCAATTTCAGTTGCTTACGACTTTTCGTTTTTTAGCTAGATTGTTCGCATGCATACACACAGACTATTTTGCGAGACTTGATTTTTTGGACTCGTAAGATAATTTGAGCACAAATTCAAGAAAAAAAAGGTGGCCTTAAAAAATATTACGCCGTTTGCGTGACCTACACACCCAAAATGTCAAAATAACGAGGTGTTATGGACCAGAGGGCCCAATAATTTTGTAGGCCACTTTTTTCCTCGATTTCGTGATCAAATTATCTTACGATCTATGTGGAAAAAAGTGGATAAATACGAGCTTTTAGTATCTGATTGAATAGAAAAAGTTTGTCGACCTCTAGAGTGAAAAAACAATTCCAAAAGTCTTCATAAATAAAATAGTTATAGGTTACGATGATATGAAGCTAATCACGAAGTTTAAGGCGGATATTAATAATTTGATAAAAAAGGATCAATAGCACGGATTATTGGCTGTTCACATACCTACAGGAGCACACACTCGAATAAATTAAAAAATTATATATTGTATAATTATAATGAAGAGAAGAATAGTTATGATGATCAGTCAAATAAGAAGGCAAAAATAAATGATAATATTTATTTTTGCCTTCTTATTTGACTGATCACCCCAACTATTCTTCTCTTCATTATTCACGACCATTAGCGGATCCAGGATTTAATTTGGGGGGAGGGGGGGCTTCAGCCCGAAAGATTTTTTTTCATATACGTATAACAATAATTAATTAGAAAACAAAATAAAGAAATTAAGTACCTATATGAAATAGTGTTTAAGTGGTTCTTGAAGTCCTATTAAATGTAATTACACTAACAAGAATACTTTAAGAGATAGTTTTTTATTCTTTTTTTCTGTAAAACATGGTTATGTTTTACCATTTTGGGAGAGAGGGGGGCTTCAGCCCGAAAGCCACCCTCCCCCTAGATCCGCCTGTGTTCACGACAGTCAACCATTTACCCACAACTAAAAATTTTATATTTATAAAAAATTATATTTTAATTTTCTTAGTTATCTTCTTATTTTTCTTTTTTTATTAGGAAGCTTACGTATATAATTTTTTCATATTTTAGGCAATAAAACTTCCAATTTTCTTCATATTGTTTTATTTATGCTTGTTGTCTCTTACGTTTCGGGACAATTTTCCCATCATCGGAGTTGTTACACATATTCACTGATACACTAATTAACATCTCAATTTCGTTGATTAGTGTATCAGTGAATATGTGTAACACCAAATAATTTTAAAAAAATGTGACAAATATTTAATTTTTGACAAATGGTGCCATATAAAAAAAAAATGGATGTAAAAATAAAAATATTACTCTGATGATGGGAAAATTGTCCCGAAACGTAAGAGACAACAAGCATAAATAAAAAAATATGAAGAAAATTGAAAGTTTTATTGCCTAAAATATGAAAAAAGTAATTTTCTCAATGTTTTAAAAATTATTCTTTTTCATATATCATTTAAATTTATAATTAGGACAGTTACAGTTGTCTTGTGGACACCACTTATTTCCTTCCACTTCTCTACTGATACATTTTTTAAGTTGTCAGGTCTCTTGCACCAAAAGTCCCCTAAAAAAGCACCTTCGAACTCGGAAACCATTAATTGAAAAACACAAGGCAGGTTAAAGAAGAACAGGAGCAGTGTTATCAGGAACTGCCACCTCCCGAACTCTCCTAAAATACTGAAACAGGAATACATATATAAAATAATTATTTATCGAGGGTAAATCGATCAGAAATAGACGTTCGATTGAGAGGATTACATACATGATGAGAGGGTCTTCATCTGTTCTTTGATAGCTAGATACAGACGGCCCCAATAACTGCCCACCTCTGATGAAGGCGTTCCCGAATTGAGTTTCGGCGTTCTTGGTGAGCACGCTCGCTTGGACTCTGGCGTTCATCTTAGGGCGATCATTCCCACTGTTGGCCAAGATCCTGCAACAACAATTTGTTTTCATCTTGATTGATGAAATTCAATTTTAAAAAACGCTGCAAATCATTTCACAATGGTTTATTATTTCCAAACAACTATACATCTAAAGTAACATTACCTTCCAAGCTACAAAGAAAAATAAATTAAAGGTGATTCCAATTGTTGGACTTAAATTTTTTTTTTAATCATTAGCAATATGCTTTAAAAAAAATTGCATTACTTCAGTAACACATTCAAAACTTTTTTTTTTTTTAATTCTTAATGACATTTACAACTGTATTACATAAATACATCTAGTAAATTTGGACATAATAGATATAATGACATGAATACACTTGCTGAGTAACTACCCAATGGTAGCACTCAAATGATATGACTACATTAGGAGATCACGGGGCCATCTTCTTTTCAGACGCCTCGGAGGGTTATCAGGAATTGAAGAGGAAGCAAGGTTAGAAACGAGAGGGTTGGGATGATTCTGAAGTTTTATTATGGAAGGATAGGTATCTGGATTGGGCCAGATCTGAAACATAAGGAACATTAAGATCTTTATGGATAATTTTATTAGTGACAAAGTAAGTATAGCTCAACTCCGTAAGTCCAAATAGGCCTTATTATAGTCAAGTATATGAGTATTTTGTAATTAATGGGAAGTTTAGAGCGTTTGTCTAGTAAGTGCTGAAGTAATCGGAAACGTCGAGCGGTTTCTTGTCGTTTCAGTCTAGTATGAGGATTCCAAGTTAGTCGCTTGTCCAGGTGGAGTCCTAGGTATCGGATTTGCTCAACAGGGATAAGTGGAGTATTGTTAAAGGAAACTGTAGGACAGGCAGTCGTTGGTTTACGACGAAGGGTAAAGGTAATTTGATGGGATTTATTGGAGTTTATTTTAATTCTCCAGTTTTTACACTATTCTTCAAGATTTATGATGTGTGATTGAAGCATTTGGGATGCAATTGATGGATCATTCTTTACTGATAGGATACATGTGTCATCGGCATATGAGGTGATGACAGTGGTGGGATAGGTAGGGATGTCAGCATTCAAAATTTAAAAACCAAACAAAGGATATAACATTAGGAATAGAAATTATAAAAAAAAAAAACTGAAGACCATATCTTTGCTCCTAATTGTCCGATTTTAACGATTTTTTTTTTTTTTTTGGAAATTCCGTAAACTTTTAAATAACCATGTACAATATCGACAAAAAAGTGTATACTTTTTGAGTTATTCGGAATTAAATTTTACCATCCCTCGTAACTTTTTTCCAGCTTCTTTTCGTTGAAGTATGTTGTGTAGATAAATTTAAAGGGCGTCAAGAAAATGACTTTAGTGAAATTTCATTGAAATCGGTACATTCGTTTAGGAGCTGCAGTCTATAGCAACGCAGGTTTTTCGGCCGCCATTTTGAAAGTAAAAGGCGGATAGTAATGTCGATGAAGGAGGATCATTCTCGGGTGACCTCTGATTTTATATCTAAATTTGAAAAAAATCAGTCCAGTAGTTTCGGAGAAAATGCTCGGACGGCGGACGGACAAAAAATTTTATTCGTTTTTCGGATTCTGCGCATCCTGAAACGTGAAACCTCAAATTTTGAGAGGGGGTCAAGTTTTTGAATTTTTTGGTCGGTCATAATGGTTGATTATTGAAAATAATAAACCAAAAAATCCGGCATGGAATGCACCACACATAATTCGGCATTTAAGCCTAGTCAGATTACCATGTTGAAGATGAAACCTACAATATATTAAAAACCACTTAATTATACATTGGCATAACAAGTTTAATCAAAATCTCAAGAGCGATATCAATGATATAAATAAGCACTTTCGGTTAGACAGTTTTGATAAAAAAAAATACTGCGGCTTCCCAGGCTTATATCTACCTCAAATACCTAATCACAGCTTCCTACGTTGTTTTTTGTTTTTGAGCTCTGGTGTTAAAAATAGTATCGATTTTAAGACGGCTCCATCGCACTATGATTTTTTGAGATTTATACAGAAAAGTTCTTATTTTTTTTTATAACTTTTATTATGATATTTACAACTTTATTAGTATGAAAACATCAAGTAAATGTGTAAAGAGCAATATAATCACATAAAACACACTTGCTGAGAAACTACCCATTGGAAGCACTCTAATAATTTGTCTCCATGAGGAGATCACGAGGCCATCTTCTTTTCAGACGCCTCGGAGGGTTATCAGGAATCGAAGAGGAAGCAAGGTTAGAAACAAGAGGATTCGGATGGTTATGAAGTTTATTATGAAAGAATAGGTATCTGGATTTGGCCAAATCGGAAACATATGGAACATTGAGGTCTTTATGGATTATTTTATTTGTGACAAATTAAGGAGCATTGAGGATTTTACGAAGGATTTTGGATTTTAAAGATTGGATACGAGAGGAATTTGATGGTTTAGTGAAGCCCCATAGCTCAACTCCATAAGTCCAATTAGGTCTTATTATAGTCATGTATATGAGTAATTAATTGGAAGTTTAGAGCGTTTGTCCAGTAAGTGTTGGAGGAAGCGAAAACGTTGAGCAGTTTCTTGTCGTTTCAGTCTTGTATGAGGATTCCAAGTGAGACGTTTGTCCAGCTGGAGTCCTAGGTATCGGATTTGTTCTACAGGGATAAGTGGGGTGTTATTAAAGGATACTCTAGGACAGCAAGTCATTGGTTTACGACGAAGGGTAAAGGTGATTTGATGGGATTTATTGGAATTTATTTTAATCCTCCAGTTTTGACACCGTTCTTCAAGGTTTGTGATGTGTGATTGAAGAGTTTGGGATGCAATTGTTGGATCGTTATTAACTGACAGGATACATGTGTCATCAGCATACGTAGTGATAACAGTGTTACAGAAAAGTTAAATCTATTTTCTTCCCAAAAACTACACCTTCGAAAACTGAGAAATGGACCCTTATTTCAATTAAGATCTGAAAAGTAAGAATAAATCGTTACGCCATACTGCAATCTTACAGTCGATTTTATTATCAACAGCCTAGCTTAAAAACGGAAGTCAAACGAAACCACGGGCGGATCTACGGGGAGGGGGGCTTTCGGGCTAAAGCCCCCCTCCCAAAACGGAAAAATATAACCATGTTTTATGGGAAAAAATAATTTTAAAATACCTCTTAAAGTATTATTGTTCGTGTAATTACATTTAAAAGTACTTAAGGAATAACTTAAACACCATTTCATATAGGTAGTTAGTTTCTTTCTATTTTTCCAAAGTAATTATCGTTATTTTTATGAAAAAAAAAGGTTTCGGGCTGAAGCCCCCCCCAAAATTAAATCCTGGATCCGCTAGTGGCGGCTGTTGTCCCAAGACTTAAAATTCAGAAAATACCATTCTTCTTCCTACGGTTCTTTAAGGACGCGGAACGTGGCGGCTTACATAAAGGAATGAGCAACGCGTCTAATTTTCTGAAAATAAAGTATTGCGTAGAATATTCAGACCTAAGAAGGATTTAACCGGAGAATTTAGGCGATTATACAACACTGAATTGCGCAAACTGTACCCTATTAATGTAATTGGGATGATTAAGTTGAAGCGAATAAAATGGGCATGTAAAATTGATGGACTTTGTAACGAAAGAATGTCTAAAAAGTTAATATGTGCTGTGCCGACTGGTAAGCATACGAGGGGTAGACCAGGAGTGCCCCTCCCCCCAAGATCAATGGCGTAAAAACCTTATAAAAATTCCAGAAACTTCCGCTTTTTTATTAGATTCTGTTATCTATTAGAATATTTAGCAACTTTAATAGTTTAAATAAATAAAACATAAATTCTGAAGAGACTGATGTTTTACAAACCTTTGAAGCATAAATTTAAAAAATAAATTAAATTTAATTACTCATCGACTTCCTCTTCTTCGGCTCCTGAGGGATCCATCTTCACTCTTAAACAGACAAAATGTTATATTTTACAAAATAGTTTTTTTTTTTTTTTTTTTTATAAAATGTATTATATTTGCATACTAGTGACTTAAACCAAATTATTGTAAAACACCCCATATAAGGCTTTATTTTTATGTTTACGGAGGGTTAATTTTTTTTTTTTTAATATCAATTTCTCGTCTTTTCAACTTGTGCTTTTCTCAATCTTAAATGAATTTTCTCTCACCTCGGGCTCTTTGGTATGAGGCTACTTTCATTTTATATCTAGCCTTAACTAGAAAATGGTCTGACTCACAGCAAGCACCTCTGAAACTGCGTACATCTTGTTTGTCTGTCGCGTGTCTACTATCTACCAACACATGGTCAATTTGATTCCGGGTCTTTCTATCTGGAGATACCCATGTCTCCTTGTGAATATTCTTGTGAGCGAAAAAATTGTCACTCATCCTCATTCCCCTCGATGCCGCAAAATCTATCAGACGTGGATACGTTATCACTGGAGATGTCATGCTTACTATGTTTTCCTATAACCGGCTGCACAGGCGGATCTACGGGGGGGGGGGTGGGGCTTTCGGGCTGAAGCCTCCCCCAAAATGTTAAAATATAACCATGTTTACAGAAAAAAACATTAAAAAACTATCTCTTAAAGTATTCTTGTTAGTGTAATTACATTTAATAGGCCTTCAAGAACCACTTAAACACCATTTTATATAGATAGTTAATTTCTTTCTTTTTTTTCCTAATTAATTATTGTTATACGTATATGAAAAAAAATCTTTCGGGCTGAAGCCTCCCCCCCCCCATAATGAAATCCTGGATCCGCTAGTGAACAGCTGAAATGTGTCCTCCTTCCATATTTTCGAATTCCAATCTCCTAAGATCCAGCTTCACGTCATATCTCGGGATTCCATTCACAATCCTCTCTAGAGTACCATAAAATTCATCCTAGAGCACCATAAATTCATACCTCTGATCTACCTTCTGTCGGCGCATGTATGCTCATCATAGATAAGTTAAAAATTCTACCTTTCAATCTTATCCTACATATTCTATCATTAACAGCCTCATAATCTATCACTGCTTCTTTGAGTGTGTTTTTTTTACCATAAAACCAGTGTCCAACAGATTACATTTACTGCCACTAATGAAGAGAGTATCGATCAGCTTTTGGGATTGATGGATCAGTTGGATGAAACCTCATTATAACCTCTCTTCACGTCTTTCTAGAGGATTATATTGAATGCAACTTAAAAACGATAAGCTAATCTGGTTAAATTCACCCATACATCCGTTGAAAAATGCGCATCGAAAATTTGTTGCGATTAAAATACACCCCTTGCCATCTAGTAGTAGAAAGGTAATATATAGAATATTACTTAGAATTTAAATGCTAAAAACTTACATGTTCTCAAAGTTTAATTTTATTCAAGAATCATTGTAATAAACATGGGATTGACATCATAGGTTCATGTGGAGGGTACAGAGAGGCCCAGTAAACATAACCCTTCATTTTGGGAAGCATTGCATTCATATGGAACCAATAGATCACATGTGTGCAATCATATTGATAAAACATGAATCAACATAACTTATTACACAATATATTAATTTTAAAAAAAAAAAACTTTGAAGTTCAAGCCTGGAAGAATTCTCGTTCACGTTTGACGATTATTGATATAGAAACTCCTGAATTTCCATCAGCTTTTCTCTTGAATCGAAGGTTTTTGGTCACAAAATCGAGAAAAAAGATGGCCTTTCTCATATTAGCCATTTGGTGTGACATCCACCACTAAAATGTAAAAACAACGAGGTTATGAAGTCTACACGTCCTAATATTTTTGTAAAAAGCCTAAACGCAACTTAATATATCAACTATATATACATTTTTACACTAGCGGATCCATGATTTAATTTTGGGGGGCTTCAGCCCGAAAACTTTATTTTTCACAAAAATAACGATAATTACTTTGGAAAAAAAGAAAGAAACTAACTATCTGTATGAAATGGTGTTTAAGTGATTCCTAAAGCCCTTTTAATATTAATCGCACGAACAATAATACTTTAAAAGATACTTTTTTAATATTTTTTTTCAATAAAACATAGTTATATTTTACCATTTTGGGGGGGGAGGGCTTCAGCCCGAAAGCCCCCCCCCCTTCGTATATCCACCCGTGCATCTTTATGTCGTATAACTATTATAAGCTCTATGTTATTGTCTTTTTATTACCATTAGATCAGAGCTTTGCTTATTAGCTCGTTTTATTTAAAAAAATATTTGTTATTATTATATTAAGTTAATGGGTCAAGAAGTAAAATTACCTTAAATTAAGGTAAGAAATAAGTTTAACAAAACAGGCATATATTTTTAGAAAATAATGGACAACTTCTATAAACATTAAAAAAAAAAATAACTTTTTAAAGGATTCAATATTCATATCATTATTAAAACTAAAGGAGAAAATTGATTAGGACTTTATCGAAGTTCTACACGAAGCATCATGTTACTGAAATAAATATAAAATAATTTTTAAAAAAATTAAAATATTTTCATTTTTTGTTTTTCTAATCTGGAATTTCATTTATTTTTTAATATTAACAATCGCATTTTTATGAAGGAATATAATAATTATAGTTTAATAAAAGTAGATATAATTGAAACTCATTCGTCTATAAAGTAACATAAGTTACTATAAGATTAAAACAGATCTATAAATCTAAAAGGATTAGAAATAAGTTATTTCTCTTCAGAGGTGTCTATCCCCTCTTGTGCGATTACGAATTGCCTTTCACTTCTTAAAAACTGTGCAATTAAAAGTAGAATTATAACAATTATTAATAATTAAATTCCTGTGGATCCAAAAACATTTTACGATATCGAAAATTATTTTACTTACTTTAAAGAACAACGGCTTCTTTTTTCGCTAGAGCCTTTCTGTGGATAGTGTTGTTTTCTATTCTTTTTCACATCAATGGATTTAAAGTAGAAAATGTGAAGTGATTTTATAATATAATATTTTTAGTTGAACTGGTGACAACCTCTAAGTTATTTATTACACTATGACAAAAATAATAAAAATAAACATCACAGCACAATTTACAAGTATATTCCAAGTCTATGATTCAGTGTTGCCAACATTCACACTACATTATATTTGAGAATTGAAAAATTAAATTATTTGAAATATTTTAATATAATAAAAAAAATCAAAATAAATTTTAAAAAACAATTGTAATGTTAACCATTTTGATACAATCATTTTACACATATATACTAACAGACAATTCAAATCTAAATTTCTTTGTTATATCACTCACTGTCACTTTCAAGTAACCCATTAATTACAGCACAATAAAAAACATTGTTTTGGAGAACATTGGTAATAATAAGAAAAGAGTTGATATATACTGTATAATATAATATAAAATATAAAGAGAATAATATTTAAATAAAACCCTGTCCTGCCAATTAAGCAACCAGTGTTTGCAAAAGTGAGGTGTAAAGAATTGTTGCACTCTTTATTTAGCTGTGCACACAGCTTGTTTTATTGATTCAGCTGTTTTTCTCATCTTGTCCTACTTCTCTTCCTGTCATCATTCAGAATGTAGCTACTTCTCTCCTGCCAAAAGAGAATTGGGTTAGACCAACTAGTTCTATACCAGTCTTTTAGTGCAGGTACTTCTCTTTGGTCATTAGCTGAGGAAGATCACTCTCCATCAGAATGTAGTGCTCTCGCTACCTCATAGGCGGTACAAAATATGATGATATTCCTGGTAGTATCCATTACCCTACAACTTTATAGAGGATAGATGTTCTAACCATATTCAAGATTTGCTCAGAAACCATCATGCTGCCCTGTTAGATCGAATAGGAGGGGAGAATCCTTGTAGTTTCCATTCCTGAACTAATGGTGGGGAGGTATTTCCTTAGGACAGCCGCTTTTAATGAAATATAATGTGAAATAACATCTTAATCACAGGTGTGCTCACATACACTATTTACAATCATCCAAACTTATTCCTCACCTGCATAAGGAAAATCAGGACTCAAGGAGATCCCACCGCTTCTTTCTCAGCTGTCGTTGATATAAAAGCCAGTGGAGACTGAGTGAGAAATCTAATATTTGATGCAAATTTTCACTATTAAAGTTGTTATAAAGTTAATGATATACATAAATATTACTATTAAATAAAAATTTTCTATGATATACATTTCTTTCACTGAAAGGTTTATTTATTTATTTCTTTTTTTTTTTCTCCTATTTTCCTCCAATTATTTTTAAACAAGAAAAGTATCTGTTACAGAAAAGTATCAATTATATTTTAGTCAACATTATTTTTCCATTATATAAACATGTGTTAACAGATTCATTTAGGTAGCAAAATGAACTCCTTTAGTTTATACTCCAGTTTGAATAAAGACGAGAGAAAAACCTATAAGTTTTATTAGGAAGCTGATATAATCCATAAGGAGCACTTCTTTAATGGAGGACACCACAGAAACTATTTATTTAATACAATATTATTAAACATCAAAGAGTTTTGGCCATATGTATAACGTTTCCTTAAAAAAAAAAAAATGTGAATTGGGTTAATTATAATTAAAGTTTTCGATATCATGACTTTTCCTTTCTTGGCGCTACAACTTGTGTAGAATCAGGGCCTTCAGCAGCTTCAGCCATCAGTCATCTCTGATAAGCGCAGCCGTCTTCCAATCGAGGACTTCAAAGATAGCTCGGGCGTATGCTTACACTCCATCAGTACATCTAAGTTTTGGTCTGCCTACCTGCCTTGTTTACATTTGCTCCTCTAATTATTTTCTCAATATATGATATATTTTTCTTTAATCGCATAAAACAATATATTACTATTTAAAAAATAACTGGCAGAGCTAAGCTGCAAAAGATCCAAATAAAATCTTAGGAGACAATAAGCTCATATCAATATAGAACTAGCAAGAAATTGGTCAAAAAATTTGAAAGGAAGTGTTCAGTCAATCTGAGTATTGAAAAATTCCTATCTCCTTATTAAGACAAATTTAGGTTATCTTGAAATTGCAATCACTAATCATAAGGATTATTACCTAATGTTTAGACTAAAAATTTAAGTTCTACACTAATTAATAATTATAAAATTAAATTGTCATTGAATTCACTCACATTTTATTAATATCATTTCTGAAATTGGAATTTCATGTGATTACACCAGATAGCGTATTTACAATTATAGAATGCATTTTTTTAAATAAAAATAGGATGAAGGAAAAGTAATGAAAAAATCTTTTATTGATACTATAAAATAAAATACTGATAAATTATTATTATATAGTACATTTTTCCACCAATCATACCTCCTAGTTTTAATACAATAACATTAATGCTTTTGTTTTATTTTTTTTTTAATCACCAAAACACAAATATAGAACATGACCTAAGATTTTAAAAACAACAATGATACAGTACAATTGAAAAAAAAAAACCAACAACTAAATTTTGGCACTCATTTAAATAATGAACATCAAATAATTATGATTTAATGTGTGAAACTGATGAAATACTAAACATTTTTAATAAGTACACACAAATAAAACACATCTTACACTTATAAAAACAAAAATAAATATATATAAATATATCTGTAAGCTCTTATTAAAAGTGGTAGACTAGAGGTAACAGGAAGTCACTGCATTTTCGAAAGTTCGAATTTGGTAGTCATTATTTCCTGAAAATAAATATTAGTCTATATCTGCTACTTATTCAGACTATTTTCAAAATAAGAAAAATACTTAATAAAAGGTTTTAGTTTCACAAAATGCAATAAATAGTATTTCATAAATATAAATAGATAAGAGACTCTAGTTATATAAGAAATGGTCAGGATGGCAGTAAAAATTAAACAAAATGATATAAAACATTTAATGAATGTCTGTCTTGGCCCATTAATATTTATCCATGTGAATTTACTTTAAATAATCACTTCTAAAATAGATTATTCTTGGGTAAACTATAAACTGAACTGAGTACTTTCATCAATTTTCGAATTTTACTTTTTTGTGAAGTCAGGTGTCCCGAATTTTTTTTTTGGCATATTTTCGAAGATAATTTGCATTTAAGAAAAATGTTGGGGGACGACCCTGTTCATAGTTCTAGTTTATATCCTTTAACTTTATCTCTTTTAACCTTTTTGCTATGATGAGTGAGAAACGTAGACAGCCATTGAGGACAGAATACTTTTCATCATGTAAACTGACCACTTATAAGTTTTTATTTAAGATATAGTTAAATAATTTCCATAATCTCTGGTCACAGAAAAAATTACCTACTGTATCATGGGAAGGCGGTGAAATAGTTTATAAGTAAAATTTATCACTGAACCACCCATCGTTTAACGAGAAAGGAATCCACTGCAGGGGATGGGTGGCCGAGTGGGCTAACATGTGTGCAAAGTACCACATTGCCCGGCAACCTGATGAAAGATAATTTCATAAAATAATAACAAGTTCAGGTTACGATGCCAAGGGCTTTTAACTTTGGCACTATCCCTGCCCTTATAAAATAACAGATACTGTACAGACAACACCATGGCACAGAACTTTATAAATGAGGGGGTTATAGAATAGTAGACAGCAAGCGAAGATAATAGAGTCTAAGTACACAGAACTCTAAAAAATATAATTAGGAACTGAAAAAATAATAACAATGTATTAATATTACTGAATTTTTTGGTTAATTATTTTCAATAATGAACCATTGTGATCGAACAAAAAATTCAAAAACTTAGCCTCCTCTCAAAATTTGAGGTTTTACATTTCAGGATACGTAGAATTCGAAAAATGAATAAAAATTTTTTTATTTTTTTTATCCTTTCAAGATGGTGACCAAAAAATCTCCGTTGCTATAGACTGCTACAGACTGTAGTGCCTAAGCGAATTTACCGATTTCAATGAAACTTAGCTAAAATCTTATTCTCGATGCCCTTTAAATTTATCTATATATCATACTTCAACAAAAAGGAGCTGGAAAAAAGTTACGAGGGATAATTAGTAGTAATGGTAAAATTAGATTCTGAATAAATCAAAAAGTATACACTTTTTTGTCAATATTTTACATGGTTATTTAAAAGTTTATGGAATTTCCAAAAAAAAAATCATTAAAATCGGACAACTAGGAGCAAAGAGATGGTCTCTAGATGTTTTTTATATGTTACACTGCAAAGGTTATATCCTTTGTTTTGGGTTTTGGTTTTTGAATGTGTTACTGAAGTTTATTTTTTTTTTTTTTAATTTGAAAATTAATACATTCTGCCGCATTGGAGGGCATTAATATTAGGGCTACATTAAACATTCACACAATATATACATACAAATGATAACTAAAATTAAATTAAAATAAAATACTGAAGTAATGCTAATTTTTTTAGCATATTACTAATGATTAAAAAAAAAATGTCACTTTTTATTTCTTTCTTTTTGTTGCTAGGAAGGTAATGTTACATTAGATGTATATTTGTTTGGAAATAATAAAACATTGTGAAATAATTTGCAGCGTTTTTTATTTGTAATCGCCTCTATCGCCCTAAAGGGCCATTGGCGGAACGTTTTTATACTTTATTGTAATATTTGGTTTTTATTAAATATTTAAACAGAATGGCGACTCCATTTTTATTGTCTTCCAATATTTCCTTCATTGTTGTAGATAATTTTAGCTCTTGTTTGTTTTTTCAAACTGATGACACTCTAGTAATAGGTGTTTCTACTGCCTTTAAATTTATATTTAATTTCAACATCCATTCTTATATAGACTATTATCAAGTTTATTTATTTTATTGGTATAGATTAAGATAGCCTAAAATTCTGTTGTATTATTTTGATAGCTTAAAATATTTAAACTTTCTATTTCTTTAATTTAAGAGCTTGGTTCATGTCCTAAGTTGCATCACCTCAGTTGTCTTGGTATTATTTATGCCTATGTTTCTCAACACATTATAGAAATACCAGACTTTTTAATTATAACTGAATCAGTCCAGATAAATTGTTTTAAAAATTAATACTCTCCTTCAATAATTTAACTTACCTCATCCGAGTCTAATATTGGCAGTGTCCTGAAAAAAAGAAAAAATCAAAACATTATTAAATGGATTTGATATTGAAATGCCAAGAAACTACTCAGCAATAAACTGTAAACAAAATCTGATAAATTTCTTAAATCATGTTTTATAAAATTACAATATTTTACAAGACAAAATTACATAATATTAATTTAATACATCATAGCAAATATATTTGTTTCAAATGATCAGCTTTTTTTCCTTTTGCTAAATCAATAAAATAAAATAGTTTTTGAATTTAATTTATTAGAATTTTTCACTAAAGCGGTAGATAACCTTAAACTAAATGTTTTATAGCTTTCAATCAAATTAGAGTACCCAAAAGATGGTTAAAAAAATATTTTAATTAATTTAGACATTTAAAAAGATTGCAAGAAGAAAAATAACAGTATATGCCTCATATAAAATAACTGTATATGCCTCATATACGTTTTTTGTTCTCATAATTCTGCCTTCTTATTTCACTATGCCCATTAATCTTTTATCTTCTTCTCTTATTCCATGCAAGTCTGGACACTGATCTGTCAACTTGTATTCCTATATACTAAGTCAGGAGATTGATCCTTCCGTTAGTATTTCATCCTCCCACAAAGTCTGGAGATTGAGCCCTCCGTTTGTGGTTACGATCCTTGCAGAGTGTTAAGGTTGATCCCTTACACCCCACACCAAGAGTGATTGGGTGCTGATCTACCTGAGACTTAAGGTCATCCTTCTAATCATCTTCCTCCACCCACTTAGTCATTTATCATCCACCAGTCATATAAACACGCTCTGTCAAGGCCTTCTGTTAGCTTACATACTCTGCATAATACCTCGACAAGAGTAAAGTTTAAATTTTAAATTGCTTGAGAGGCAGAAACATTGTTATTTCAATACAAGGAAGATGCCAATATAACATTTCATTCTGCAGAGTAATTTAAAATTCAATATCAACTGTTATATCAAAGTCATCTCCTAGTCCAAAAATCATGAGGCCATCTTCTTTTCAGACGCCTCAGAGGGTTAGCAGGAATTGAAGAGGTAGCAAAATTAAAAATGAGAAGGTTTGAATGGTTCTGAAGTTAATTATAAAAGGATAAGTATCTAAATTGGGCCAAATCAGAAACATATGGAACACTAAGGTTGTTATGAATGATTTTATTTGCGACAAAATAAGGAGCATTGAGGATTTTAAGAAGGATTTTGGATTGTAAGGATTGGATATGAGAGGAATTCAATGATTTAGTAGTAAAGCCCCAAAACGGAAATCTGTAAGTACAAATAGGACTCATTGTAGTCGTCTATATGAGTATTTTGTAATTAATTGGATGCTTAGAACATCTGTCTATTAAACGCTGAACTAGTCGGAAAAGACAAGCTGTTTCTTGTCGGAAAAATAAAATAATTTATTTTTTCCAAGTCCCTTATACCATATTTAAGTAATTTCATTTCCAAAGACATTTCCCAAATATTTCATCTAAAATTTCTTATATTTTTTAAAAACTGTTTCCATTGCAAAGGAGTTTTGCTAAGAGTATATTCACAACATATAATATAAAATGCATAGAAAACTTAAAAGACTTGCAATTAAATAGTAAAAAAAATATAGATCTTAATAATTAATAATGTTTAAAAAAATTGGTATATTATATATTGCAGATTTAAGGGGAAAAAATATAACTTACGTATCCACAAGTGAAGCTGGAATGTTTTCTTCGACCCATTTTAGATCTTCATCCTGAAAGAATTAATTATTTATAATAAAATCATATTCATATTAAAATTTGAATATTGAAACCGATATTTAAAAATATATATAATTAACAAACAAACAATTTTTTACAAGGAAAGCCTCAGTGATTACTACATAAAAATAAGATTTTTTTGTTAATTCTATATCTGATAAATATTGGTTTAATTATTATTATTTTATTTATTTTTTTAGTATTACATTTCTTTTTACTGATATTTTTATGACTATCAACACGATATATACCAATTCTTGAATTGGAGCTCAACGTTACAAAGAGTGAATACCAAATTCAATAAAAATATGTCCTCCGTAATATATAATTTTTTATTCTCTCCTTGCTGCCGGTTTCGGTCTTCCAGCAAACCTTCATCAGCTTAATCTATGATGTCACTCTTCTCCTTCTTGTCACACGAGGACTTATATGTATCAATATTATTTTACTATAATTACATTCCTACTTTTTTCAAAGATCAAAATATCGAGAGCTAATATATTAAATTACTATTTCCATATATTTAAATAATATCGATATACTTTTTTAATATATACATCCCTGGTCTCTCCTTTAGGCATGAAAGGACCAAACAGGGTTTGGTTAACAAATCTATCAAGAAACAAAAAATGTTTTCTGTAGTAGTCTATAATGATTTACAAAACTTACAGGATTGTTGGGACTTGATTTTGGTTTTGGTGATGAAGACCCAGTCCCTTGAGCTCTCATTTTAACTCCTAAAACCAAAATACAAATAAAAACTCTCATTAAAACTAAATAGAGAAAAATCAATAATAATATAAATATAAATGGAAATACTCTATTAAAATAACACTTAAATTTTAAAAAAAAAAATTATGACTTATAGGTCCAGTGACAGACTAGTAGCCAGCATAAACGTTTAATTAATTAACTGAAATTGAAAATAAAACTTTCTTCTTTTTTTTTCTCGCAACTCACCATAGGCATCATTAACAAACTGTTCCTCTTCATCGTCATCATCATCATCCTCAGGTGCATCCAAAAGAGGAGAAAATGCATACCTAAAATTTATAGATAATGGCATAAATATAGTAACAAACTTCTCCTATCAATAAAAAAAAAATATATATATAATAAAAGGTAAAAGGGCATATATGAAGTTGGACAAATTGAATATATATTATGGTTACAAATTGGCAATAAGAATAATTATTTAATAATATAAATTGGTAATAAGGCACGATGTATAATATAGATTTTTAAAGAAAATTTATCCGAACTGTGGTTTATTTCATATCGATAAAAAATAATAGAATCTTAACTACAGAATACATGTAAATTAAAGTTATACAATTTGAGCGGCAAGTAGTTCAATGAAATGAACAGTTGTATAATTTATAAAATGAGAATTGGTCCGTCATTAGGCGGACAGGGGTTTCCCCTGGTATAATATATAATAATAATAATTATGGTAGTATACTAACTAGGTCAGGTATAAATGTAACATGAAAAATGTAAATATCAAAACCCTGAGGGTGGAAGGTGGAAGGATCGAAATGGAAATAGATTTTAAAGATTTCGAGGCAGACCTGGTTGAGATGTTGGTATGGAATGTACCAGACCCTGTGTTTTAAAGTCCTGAATTTACTGTTATCAAAGCCTAACCTAATTCTACCAATAGCCACATTGCCATAGAATACTTATCATATACCATTGTTTATTTTTTAAGAAAATTTTTAAATATACATACCTTTGATTATTATTGGTTGGCCTCCACAAAAACATAATTACAATAAGAATAATAGAGAAAAGTAGGCGCCAGTATGCATCATCTATCCACAATTCCTTCCAATCCTTAGAAAAAAAATATTATGGTTAGAACCAATTTCAAAATATTCAAATGATGATTACAATTTAAAAATATTACCTTAAAACAGACTGTTAGGCTGTGAGCTTTAATAGAATACAGCATAAACATCACTGACGCCACAACAGCGAAAATCAGGATGTTGGTGAAATGCCGATAAAGTGTTAATTTCACAAGATTCCTAGAAATATCATCCAAGCAAAGAAATAGAAAAAATAATATTTAAATTTAATAAAAGCATTACTAGTCTCTCAAGAAATATAATTCATATAAATTTCTTTTCCATCAAATCGACAAAAATTATATGATTAATATGATAGCTATCTCTACAGGTTAAGAGAGTTAAGAAGTATATTAATTTACATTAGCTAACAAATTATTTATGCAGTCTAAAGATATAACTTATTTATTATTTTATTTAAGAGTGACAACAGTCTCTGAAAAATCAATCATTATTGCTTTCTCAATATAAGATTCTATCATGTACAGCAAGGCCAGATCTAGAATTTTTGCCAGCAGGGGCAAACTAAATTTCACTGTATTTCCCTCACTCCCAATAAAAATCAACATTTTATAACAATATTTTAAGTAATATATTTAGAAATAACCTCAATGAATGACCAACAGTATGAAATAGACTAGTATATAACAAATGCAGAGCTTTCTTCTCCCTTTCAAAGGTATTGAAATCCTGAAAAATCTCAAATTAAGGGTGTAAAATGCTATGATAAAGCCAGTTCTAATATATGGCTCTGAAACCTGGACACAAACCAGCGCCCTAGAAAAAAGTATTGAAAAATCCTTCACATGATAACCAGACCAATGAACAGCTACTAATAGAAACTGGTCAATCAATATATCTCATGATATGAAGGCAAGAAGGTTAAAATGGACAGGGCATGATGATCCTTCTGGGACACACTCAGCCTCAATAAGGTGGGTACTCTAAATTAAATAATTAAGGGGGTATATTTGGTGGTTGAGTGTGATCTCTGTCAAATCTCCTCCTAGTGCAACCATTGACCAAAAAACAGTACTTTCCCTAAATAGCTCTGAACAGCAGTAGAGGTTCTTTTTTTTTTAAAATGTTTTCCATATGAAAATGAATAAGTTTCAATAAAAATTACAATATAAATTAAATATAATGTTAGTCTCTGTATCATGTTAGATATAATATATGTTATTATATGATATAACAAGCAAAAATTAATGTTGAAAATAACGAGTTTCCTTGAATATCCTTTCTTCTGAGATCGCAGCAACGTATGCTTCTTAGATATAATATATTGTAATGTACACCTTTACTGGAAGTGAGTAAAAAGGGTTTAATAAATTAATGTTTAACAATTAAAAGGCAAGCTAATCTAGTTCTACTAGTGCAGAGAAAAGAAAATGGCTACTCTGTAATTTCCCAAGAAGGAAAATACCAAAGAGGAGAGGGACAAAGATTTTTGTTTTGGCAAGCAGTTGTTGTGTGACTGCAGTGAAGAGAGGTTAAGAGAAGATATCCTATCCTGACTCCAGTAGGTAAAACCCAGTAATAGTTTTACCATCTTAGAAGATCTTGTTTGGCGGGGAGAATAGTTGTTTGGAATTGCAAGAGAGGATTTCCCAGAGAGCTTGAGTTGAGTGGAAGAATAGTGTTACCATTTTGGGATATGTGTTTGGCAGAACATAAGAAAATGTGTGAAGACAAATGAGTTCAGTGCCACAAAGGAAGAAACATTGTATGTAGGAAAAAGGTTAGCTTGCCAATCCATATTTGACTTTATTTTAAAAATCAAACGGTGTTTAGTATAGTTAATTTTAGTTTGTCTGAGAGTTGATCTGATTGTCAGTAACCCACACCTGAGATAAATAAATATATTAATTCTCTTATAATTTTGTTTATTATTAAACAACCTCTTATTTATTTAGGAAGTATCCCAATGGTAAGCAGTGAGCTTCCGAGGTTATATTATTATTATTAGTCAAATATAAGAGAGATTTTACAAGCAAAAATTAATGTTGAAAATAACGAGTTTCCTTGAATATCCTTTCTTCTGAGATCGCAGCAACGTATGAAGGATATGCTATTATATAATAAAAAAGCAGTTTGTTTATAAATATAATAACACATTCATTAATAGTTTAATTAATGTATTTAACAATAGTAATTATTATAAAGGGAAATGCAAACATTTAATTAAAACATTGGTTACCTCCTTAATCTTAGCGTCCGAGTGGTCTGGGCCAGGCTGATGAAGATCCACCAAGAGATAGCTGAGTCGAGGACCGCTAACGGAACAGTTGCGATCACAAACTGATTCGCAGGCTCTTTTTTGGGTTGCACGACTCTTGTATATGACTCCGACACAGCCAGGACGAAATAGAGCATACCGACGCATACGACTCGGTGCAGCATCGGCCCCAGTCTTGGCCTGCAGTGGACCACCAAGCTCTAAATTAGTTGTCACTTATGAGTGTGTCTTAAATTGACTAAAAAAGAATTAATTTAGCAAGTATTTATACTCATATATACAGGTCGTCTCAGTTCTTAATGGTCAAACTATGGGGGAGGGGAGAATTCTAGGCAAAATTTACAACATAGAAGTCCATTTGATGCATGGGTCGATTCCGAGCGGAAAAGGAGTAAAGACCAATTTTGTGTTTTTCTTAAGGTGGTCACATTTTTTATTGAATAAGAAATAATTGTTCAAACGCTCTTCAAGATAATTAAATACAAAGCAACGCCTACCATTATGATGAATTATTTCACGAATCAGGATTACAGAGATATGCTGCCGTATCAGACGTCCTGAAAGTCTCTTTTATCATTTACTCAGTATTCTCAAAATAATTTCTACTTAACGATGGTGTACTTTGAACTTAATTATCTTGAAGAGTTTTTGAGCAATTCCTTCTTATTCAATAAAAAATGTGACCACCTTAAGAAAAACACAAAATTGGTCTTAGCTCCATTTCCGTTCGGAATCGGCCCATGCATCAAATGAACTTTTTTTTTTTTGGAAAGTTTGTCTAGAATCACCCCTCAGATTTTGGCCATTAAGAGCTGAAACACCATGTATGCATCTAAAAAAAAATTATAAAATAAAATGGTTTTATTGATTTTCCAAGAAATCTTCCTTTTTTGTCTGGTACTGAATATAAAAACCTGATTTATTCCCTTTGTTAAACAATGTTAACGGATATATTGAGTGCCATTAAAAAATATAAATTCTATGTATTATAATATCTGACGTTAGGATGTCAAAGGGTAATCACTTATCTCAAATTATTTATAGAGGTTACTTATTATCATAGCCGTCAGGTGGGTTTTTGGCGCCCAGGGCGAGATTTTACCACCTCCCCTTCCTCCTTTCCAAATCTGCTAATAACCAATTTACCTTATGTTTAAATAGAGAAGAAGAGATGAATATAGTGGTAATAATGATAAAGGCTTAGCGAACACGGATGTTAGATGTCCAATCGCTGCCTATATACTCCCATCTACCGGGAGTATTGTATTTTAGTATCGCGGAAATAAATAGGCCAAAATCGCCACCATAAAGTTTTTCTTTTCGCAGAAATACACTCAGTAGGAGTCTCCAAACTAAGACACTCTGGCCAGATCCGTCTCTCAATATCTCCAATCCGACCCACTAAAGTTTGTTTAATTACATGATAAAATTAAAAAAACTAAGAAAAATATATATAATTCAGTAAATTATTCACAAAAGAGATTATTACAACATTTATTATATGTTTTTTTCTCTTAGGAAGCTCATTTCACAACTGAAGTGTTATTTATTTAGACTTTTTTTTCACAAACCACAGCCCACGGGACTTAAGCGGTAGTCTCAATGCAGTCCGAGGGAGTTAGTGGAGGTCTCGATGTGGCCATAAGATATGCAGACCCCTGGGCTATAGTATTATAGTGGAATATAACTATGTGACATAATTTATCTATTATAGATTTAAAGAGCTTTTTTATTGGCTTATATTTGTTCTATAAACGTTCTGATAACATTTACTTTCTCAGCCAATTCTTATTCAAATCTGTTTTTTTCTTAATTGGTTCTAATATTGGTTCCCGATCCATAGCGTCCGCCTAGCCATGGTGCCCTGCCCACGCGACCGTCCTGTTTATTATATATAGAATAAAACTGCAGTTTTCTTTTGTAAGTACATATGAATTTACAAATCTATATGAGTAGAAAAAAAAAGTTGCTAATATGCAAATTCATTCATGTTTTCCTCAAATGTTCAATACTGATTATAGCATTTTGACCACTAGAGGAATACTAATAATAATAATGTTTTGTGGACATATTTTAATTTCATTGGTTTTTACTTTCATTTACCTACATATGTAATATATAGTAAGGGAAAGTATCGTGAAAATTTTCGAATCTGAATTTTCAACGCAAACACAATTTTGAGGTTCCCTGAGTCCAAATAACCAAGTCCCTTAAAATATTTTGTGTGACTGTGTATGTGAACAGTCTAGCTCAAAAACCAAAAGTCGTACGAAACTGAAATTGCGTATTTAAGGTTTTTATATGACTGAGATATTACAGCAATTTTTTTGTCAAAATAGGCTAATCGGAAGTGACATTTTATAGAATCGATTAAACACGTTTTTAAGATTTTCTCAAAAACAGCTCAAACGATTTTGATTAAAATCGGTGTATCATTGCATAATTAAATGGTCTTTAATATCATTTAGGTCTTATCCCCATTGATGTCACTATACAGTGCTTAAATGACCAATTTTAAACATGTCTTTATCTAAAGAACCTTTTGAGACAGGTTTGTTTTCTTTTCCTCTTTCTTATTTCAGCCTTCTCAGTTTCTTTCCTCCTTCTTTTCATTCCTTTTCTCTGTTTAACTCTTTATTATATTATATGTTGTCTGTACATCTTGATAGACTTTACAATATCTCAATTTTCTATCTAACTATTCTATTCGCAATATCTTAATTTTACTATTTATTTCCATTTCTTATATAACTTCATGTTAATTTTTTGCATTTTATTCTAAGATTCCCATTTTAATACATATGTCACCTTTTTTGATTATGTTTACTTCATCATTCCACCCCTTGTATCGGTTTTTATTATTTATCTCTTAGTTCTTACTGTTGTCATTATTTTAACAACTGCATTTCACTTTAATTTTTTTACCTACACTACTATGTTTCTCATACCTTGTTATCTGGTTCTTTTCTTAGCCCTGATGAAGGCCTGAACTTCAGGTCGAAACGTCGGAAAATGTCAAAATAAATATTATCATTTATTTTTGCCTTCTTATTTGACTGATCACCCCAACTATTCTTCTCTTCATTATTCACAGTCAACCATTTACCCTCAATTATAAAGAACCTTTAATTTGGTTTATTTTAAATAACTAACTATCTCTCATTGCTAGTTAGGAGTTACGAAAAAATGCTAAATATAACTTTTGAAAGAATTTGATAACTAAAAAATGGATAAAGAAGATAAAATGTTTATTCAGGTCGAAAATGAATATCCGGAGATACTAGTCAGAAGGTATACGTATAATATATCGTTGGAAAGCCGTAGAAGATAATGGAGAGTAATGAAAAATATATAAATAATAAAACTTAATATTATTATCACGGATTATTTCAGCAAGTAAAATGCTGGGTCAGTATAAGTTTAGAAACAGCTGAGCCTTTTGTGTGTGTTGTTGTACATCTGTGAGTGAAATGTGACTTTATTTAATTAAAAACATATTTGAATAAAAGATAAACAACTTACTTAACTATACCGAAACCAAGGCTGACAATGATGACTAACATCCTCGCAAGAGTCCGTTTGGCACAAGAAACTATTTCCGCCGTGAGGACAACCCATTCTATGGAGAGACCGGTAGAATTAAAATTAGAGTATTCAGCGTAGAAGGTGGCAACTTCGAGCATTCCGAGAAAGATGACACCGCCTATCCAGAACTGGATCCTCAGGAGGTCGCGCCATTGAAGGAAACTAACCGTCAGCCACACAGCTCCCATGGTCACGTACAGCATGCACATGGCTCCGTAAAACTGAAAACAATTACCTGATATCATACAAAGAATACAAATAGTTTAACCAATCGCATACTTCATTTATATAAAATTCCTATTTCATTATAGGAAATGTATTTACCGGCAAAAGGGGCCAATTGGCAGCGGATAAGTAGCCATAAGTCCCTTTCATTTCAACATGGACTTTTGCTTGTTTGAAACTACTGCCACTTTCTGGTGATACATGAACATTGAGAATGTAGAAACCGTCTCTTGATACTTTGAATACTGCTCGCTTAGGATCCTATGAGAAAAAGAAAAAAAAGACACAAATATTAAATATAAACAAATCTTGAAAGAAAGTATATCTAATTCTGGAACACTGAGTTCCCTCAGAATAATTGGTCTGGCATAAAAAAATAAATAAATTATAAAATGATGTAATAATAAAATAAAATTAAAAATAAAAGCACAAATACATAAAAATAATGAATTATAGATAAATAAAGTCGGTATGTTTTCTAATTTGAGCTTGTAAGAACTTTAAAGGACCACAGTAAAATAATAGATGGGTAACAATAACTTAACAAAACATTATTATTACATTAATTGGGATGATTGATTATTGAAGAAATTGAGAAATAGTTGGTGTTGATTAAATACACATTTTTATTATTCAAACATATTTCAAACAATTAGGGTGAACGTACGAGTTATGGATAGGGGACCCAGGTATGGACTTTAAATGTAAATAATAAGTTTCCTTGTTGATTTAAAGGTTCCAGTTTTTACCAGATTGAAGAACAATGCCCTCTATTGACAACTGTATGAACAAATTTCTCAAAAGAAAATTTTAAAATGCTTATCATTGTAGTTTCTATACTGCTCTTGTAATCAGTGTGTTTCATACCTTCCTACTAACAATTTTGCTAAGAGTAAGTAGAACATTTATGTTATCTTATCTTTATCGTTAAATAATAATTTTAGAATTTTACTGAGGTATGTCTATTACTGGTACCGACCCTCTGTCTGTTACTAGAACAATTGAATTTCGGGGTTTCCATCATTAGTGCACAAAGCTATTTTTTTTTTATATGGAGATTATATCAGCATAACTGAATATTGTTTTCAATTTTTAAGTGTTAAATAAAAAAAGGAGACGCTAGAGATTCTAAATGTCCAACCCTCTGTCTGTTACTAGAACAATTGAATTTCGGGGTTTCCATCATTAGTGCACAAAGCTATTTTTTTTTTATATGGAGATTATATGAGCATAACTGAATATTGTTTTCAATTTTTAAGTGTTAAATAAAAAAAGGAGACGCTAGAGATTCTAAATGTCCAACGGAGAAGTTTACAACCATAATAATGACTATGTCCATCACTGGTGCGCTTACCCTATAACTTTTTAATTTATTTTTAAAAAAATGTATTTATTAAATAATTTGTTGAATAAAAAGTATTTATTTTTTTTACAGGAAAAACTTAAGGTTATTTTCAAGGAATAATGTTAGCTTATTAAATAAAATTGATTTGACTAAGCATATACACGTATGTATTTTCTCATTCAATAATTTTATTTGAAGAGTAGAATGGTTGGGATGATCAGTAAAAAAAAAAAAATTATAAAAAAAAATAATTGTATTTATTTTTATATTTGCCGATGTTTAGGCCCAAAGTTCAGGCCTTCATCAGGGCTGGTCAAATGAAGGACGAAACCTATAGAGGTCTTTCAACGCTCCTTCGTTCAACCTTAAACTTCTCAAGTCTCAATTGTAATCAAAAGCTACAAAATGAAAGCTGAATAAAACACTTATTAGACCAGTAGTCACCTATGGAGCAGAAACCTGGTGTTTATCGCAAGAGGATTGCTGTAAACTAAAAGTATATGAAATGAAAATAATAATAAGGATTTAGGGTGCTACAAGTGTTAATGGTGAGTTGAAAATCAAAAGTAACAATGAAATTGAGGCTATATTAGAGAATCGAAACATTACTAACTATATCAAGGCCAGTAGGCTGAGATGGGCAGGACACGTGATCAGAATGGAGAATAAACGGGTACAGAAGAAAATATTGGAAGCGCACTTCAGTGGGAAGAGGAAAAGAGGAAGGCCGAGAAGCAGATGGAAGGATGAAGTGGAGAGAGACGCAAGGGAGTTAGGAGTTCACAATTGGAAGAGAGAAGCACAGGATAGAGAGAAGTGAAGAATTACTCAGGAGGCAAAGAATCATGCTGGCCTGCAGCGCCAGGGAGTTGGTTAGTTACCTATGATTATTTGAAAGGTTGATAAGTTCCCTACGAAATAAAAAAAAAATCATTAAAATCGGACTATTATTAGCAAAGATACAGCTTATTGATATCTGTAAAAATTAATTTTCATTTCTTTTGTCAATTATAATTAGTGAGAAAATAAGAATTTATTTCTCAATCTTATGATACTTGCATTATTTTATTTTCTTATTAATTTGTCATTTGATTACCGAACAATACAATAATAACACTTTATTTATTTTGGGATGATTCCTTTTAGAATAATACAAAAAGAGATAAATGTGGGCTAAGGAGCCTCGGGGATACATAAACAATAATCAAAAAGTGAATAAACAGTCATAAGAAAAAAGTGTCAGTTACTTTGTGACTTTAATTAATTAATAAAAAAAATAAACTAAAAAAAAAAACCTATTTCAAAAGACTTGGCGAAAACGAGAGTACGTAGTTAGCATGAATAGAACCTGAAATCGCTTAGTAAGGCAACAGGCCAATCTCCAGGCTTTCCTGGTGACCTTACGAGTTTGAACCAATTTTTAAACTGGATTCAGAAACTGTTGGTCAACACGACTTTGTGAAGAGAAGTAGTAAATTGAAGTTTAGTGAAAAATCAAATAAAAACATTAATATTTTTTTAAAAGTTTATCTCACATATGGATCTCGCTACGATATTCAAAAAATGATTATTAGTCATACGATGAATCACATTTGTGCAATACTGGTATTCCCTAAATCAGAGAAATAAAAATTGACCTACAGAATGAATAACGTTTAGTTTTTGCATTTTGCTATCTTCTACAGGAAGCAAATCTTTTCTTGTTTGAATAGTAGTTTCTGGCTGATTTTGAATCTGTTCCTGCAAAAAATTAAAAATAAGCATATTTTTAAAATCTTGAAAAATAAAGAAATCATTTAGTTTACATAAAATATATATAATAGATAATAAAATAAACTACCAATGGAATAAGGCTGCTGCATGCGTATGATTTATCATTACTCGAAGATGCAATTGTAATAACAGTGTTATTATCAAGTGAGCTTAGAATTTCTTCTTCAAATTCCTGAAAAAAAATAGATAACCATAAATATATTTTCTTTTTATATGAATAGAAAACCATTAATTAATGTAGTGAACAAATACTAAATTTATTTACCTGATCATATCTTGGGTAATATCGCCAACAAGTAGATTCACGTAAGGTCCAAACTACTTTGATTTTACTGTCCTTATTATCTATTTCTTCACACGACACTACATATAATGATAATAAATGAATTAAATTGCACCAATATATAAAATTTCACAATAATTATCATAAGCTAATAATATTCAATAATCAATATCATAAAAGTTTATGATCACTATTCCTTGAGTAAGACAAAATTTCATTGTTTTCAACCTCTTACCTCTTACCCTTCACTTATAAAAAATTTAAATCACTTGTAAAAATTGTCGGTAATAACTTGAATTGGTTATTAATATACAATATAATGATTGAAAAAGATGAAGATTATTCTATGTAAAAGAAATTTAAATAGAGCTACTTAAAATTATCACAAAAAATTGAAAATTAATATACATACGAGAACATACTACAAATAATATCATGATAAATTGAATGGAGGAAATACTGCGAATAAATGGCACAGAAAAACCGGAGATCGAAAAATAATTTATAAGGAATCTAATCATACAAACACATAAATAAAGTAAAGGCACTGGAGTGCTATAGGGTAGGGATTCTACAACTGAGTGTTGCAAGCATATTTCAGCGGTGCCTCAGCCATATTAAATTTAATTTTCAAAATTTTAAGGTCAAAATTGTAACTTTAGCGAACAGACATACTTAAAATGAATAAATTAAAGCTTGTTAGTAACATAAATAAAATTAAAATTGATCAAATTGAAGTTTCTATATCTGGGCTAAGTTTCATTAGGATTATATATATATTACCCTCTTTCGGTCATATGTGCATATTCTAAATCCGCCATACAATCTCTACTAGACCCCTTTACCACACACCCTCTAATTACCGAAATAAAAATACAATTAAAAACATTGAAAGATGCTGGTTGTAGAGTATTGTTTTTATGGATACCTGGTCACAGTGGAATTCCTGGGGTGAAAATGCAGACACACAGGCGAAACGAGCAATAAAAAATGGTCAAGTATTTTCAATAAGTGATTGTAACGATCTAATATCTTGGATAAATGAAAAAGAATGTCTGGAGTGGCAAAATCAATGGTTCTGCATGAGAGAAAATAAATTAAGAAAAATCGAACAATATGTTAAACATCCAAGAAAAAGTCTACAGCTATCACGGAGAGAAGAGGTAGATCTTACCTGCCTCAGGATTGGCCATTGTCGACTTACCCACGGATATCTGATGAAGAAGGAAGAACCGCCAACATGTTATAAATATATATATTCCACAACAAAAAGGGGTAAAGATTCAGTTTAATCCCCACATAAAGGATAACAGACACTAATACTTTTCAACCTGATTAAGGTGCCAAACAATTTTTAGCACGACATGGGTACTGTTAAACAAATATTTGAGAACTGATGCCATATGGTGCCTGATGCCATTTAAGTATGCCTCTCACTCAATATGCTACTTTCTAAGCTTAATCGTTACTTCTCCTAATTGTCAATCACATGCTCAGTACGGATTTAAGAAAAAAAGGGGAAACATACAATAGAAAAATCTAGTATCTCAACAAAAAGTATAGCTTATAAGTTCATTAAAAACATAAATATACTGCTATTATGCATATCGCGTTTCCTTAAAGAGCAAATCACATTTATATTCAAATTGAATATAGCTGTGGAAAAAGAAAGCTTAATTGAATTTCTTTAAAATCAATGATACATATTATTCTAACCAAAGTTATTATATTAAATAAGAAACAACAAAAATTTAAAGATAAAAGTATATAATGTTTTTAAAAATCTGTTAAAATTAAATATGTTAAATTGTCTATCACACGATGGATTGAATCCACACTGAAGAACAAATTGATACGTCAATAGTAAGAAAATTATAGCACTGTTAAATTAGCAAACAATACAAACATGTTAATAGGAATGTGAATCTGAATCATCATTATTTTTAGTAGTTATGAACTTTGGCACTCATATTTCTTCGAGATAGTACAACCTAAATAATGACGATCAGCAAATATCGCTGAACATAATTTTTTAATAGCTACTTGTACAAATAATATTAACTACATAACATCTGATGTGTTTCATAATAAGTTTTAAATTTGGTAAGGACCTCTGAGGGATAGTAATAAAATATTCAAAAATTGTAAAGGTGACTAAGTACTATCCATCCTACAATGTAATAATAATAAAACTAGGTAGTTGAAATCAAAATGGTTTATAATTAAAAAATAACTTAGAAAAGCATTAAGAATTGTACTAAATTATAAGATGAAAATATACCTTGTATAAAAATTTGGGAACCTTTAAATAAACTTTTGACCAATGTCTTATCTTGTGTTTTCTGAAACATCAATAAGAGAATTTTTGGTTTTATTCGATTGAATTAATAATATTAACTTTAAAACCTCTGAGAAGATAAAGGGCATACCTCATTCAAAACAAAATCCCATTTCCCTTGTTCAGGAAAGGAATTACAGAAACTCAGACTGAGTGTAATTAAAACTAAACTTATACACAAATAATCCATAATTTTAATAATTTAAAAGAGAACAGATTAAAATTAAAAGAACTAAAAATTCTTGTAGTATTTACAATTTACTAGATATTTAATTAAAACAACTAGCTAGAGATCATTCTACATTTACTAAGTACACCCTAAAAAGAATGGTTTGTGAAGCGGTTTTGATTTACATATTGTTGGTATCATTATTGCACAATAACAAAAATTGTTCACATATAGTATATTTTCCACTGAAGGTTACACACTGTTACCTTCGATGTAGCATCACTGATAGGACAAGTTCCTAAACTCAGTGTTGAGCTCATCGACGGCATTGGATCTTTCAATAAACTGGGCAAAACGATGCCATCGATTAGCTGAGCGCTGATTGTAGGAACTTGCCATTACTAATGTAAATATAAATTGATGTTTAATCATATAAGACAAATATGTATTTATCGACTCTAAATAAAATAAAAATAAAATAACCGGTTTATACACCCAGAATAAAACTGTTGGGATAAACTATTAAACATTTGATAATCATTTTTTTTAAATTGCATAAATTTGAACACATATTTTCAATTTACAGAAATACTGTATAATAATAACAAAATGAATTAATTTCTTCTTCACCTCATAAAAATTTTAAAATGAATTAATAATATATGAATATTTACTAAACTATATAGGAACAATTATCCAGTTCCAAATCTGGAACCTGATGCCATCAACAAACCATTTCAGAAATTTTAAATTGAATTAATAACCTATGTATTGATATAAATAATGTATATTGTTTAAAAAATGTATTAATAATGCTTAATTATAACCTACACTGTAAATATGTTTGTGATAAATATTTTTAATTACTTAAATGGGACTACTTCAATATCTACTGTGTTGGTGTTTGGAAAGCTACCGTTTCTTTCTTAAGATAATGTTTAATAGAATATTGGATAAACTATGGAGCAAGATATCAGGAAGTGAGTTATGATAATTGATAAATAAATAAAGTAGATTTTGTATTTAAACTTATTTTCAGCAAGGAGTAATCAAGGTTGTAGTGTAGACTCGAATGAGGTCACCATTTCCCCTCATTCTTTGTGTAAGAACTTATACTTTTTCAATCTTATTATGATAATGAAATTAATAAAAAGAACAATAGGTTTTTTTTTGTTGGTAGGGGATTTCCTAGAAGTGTGTATTATAATTCGTTATCTTATTACCCAGTAGAACCGGAACTAAGATTTTTGCCAGGAGGAAGCTTGATTCTGCGCCCTATCTTTCCCTACCCTGTGGAAATGCGGAAAACTCGTATCACCAAAAACAACAAAAAACAAATTATTTCCATAACTGAATACTTTGAGAGGTCATAACCGGTCGGTTTAACTGAAGGTGAAAAAAATCAAGAGTAACCGATAACCACTGGCGGATCTACGTTGGGGGAAGAAGGGAACATATTAAAAAATTATCTTTAGAAGTATTATTGTTCCTGTAATTACATTTAATAGATATAATTACACTAATAAAGTATCACTTGAACGCCATTTCAAAAAGGTAATTAGTTTCTTTCTTTTTATTCCAAAGTAATAATAGTTATATATATATATATATCTTTCGGGCTGAAGCCTCCAAAAATTAAATCCTAGATCCGCTACTCGCAATAACCTTGCGCCAATAAAATTATCCCAATTTTGGGAAAATTATGCTCCAACCATTGAAACTATGGTGCTTCTAAAAAATGTATATATAATGAATGAAAATAACAATAGGTAATTATTTTTTTTGTTGGTAGTGGGTTTCCTAGAAGTGTATATCACTCTCCACGTCACCCATAACGAAATTCCTTTACTTAAATTGTTCCATGACAAAAGTTATTCAGAAAAAACAATTATGATTTAATTTTTCGGTGCCAGGAGAGAGAGGGCTTTTTATCTCTCTGCCATTAATCTTCCGCCTCCATCTCTGGGCCGGAAAAAACCCATATTGCCTAAAAATTACCTTTATACATATATATATATATATATATATATATATATATATATACGTTTCGGCCCAAAGTTCAGGGCTAAGGAAAGACAGGTAACAATGGGCGTAAGAAACTATTAACATAAAAAAGAAATTAATAATATGGAGGTGAAAGGTATAGTCTAACAACATGTAGTATTATTTTCTAATAATATGTATTATTATTTTCTTTTTAATGCTAATAGTTTCTCATACCTATCTTATCTTGACTTTCCTTAGCCCTAACGAAGGCCTGAAGCTTGGGCCGAAACGTCGGTAAAAATAAAAATCATTTATATAATTTTTATTTGTATTTTTGACTGAACACTCCAATGAACATCTCTGCAATTTTTCACTACAGTCGTCCATAAATCCTCTATTATTTATATATTTCATTGATTATTGTTTCTGTATTTATAGTAATTTATTAAAAAATAACTAACAAATCTACGACTCCGGCTTGCATTTAACAGCTTTTAAATCTATTAAAAGAGATTTTGCACTAGGAAATAAAAAGATTAGTTATTAGAAAAAAGGTTAGATATCAATTAAAGAAAAGTTTAAAATTTTATTTTATTATAGGGAGAAATCCCTTAATTGTTAAAAACATGACACGTCACAATTTAAGTAGTAAAGTGAGCATTAGTTACAGTCAGACGTGACCGTTTCTCTCCTCCCACCCAAGTTCTGTCTACAGGGCATTCCTCTCAAGAAATTTTATTGTTTTCCTCTTCTTAATAACAGAACAAAAAAAAAAAAATTAAAAAAATTGTAGTTTGTTTGCAATTAGACTCATGTGTGGTTAATAACATGCGTTTTCCTTTTTAACTTACTTTGAAAATAACATGCAACCGAGATCAATAAACCATATAAAAATTAATTATATTATATTACAAGTAATGCATTGATGACTGGGTTATTTCATGTATGGCATTCTCGCTTTGCCTCCTTCCTCTACAATATTTAAAGTTCTCGCACTAATGCTTTTTTCAGTACTCTTAAGTATTCATCATTTGTTTGTTCCAGAACATAAAAATGATGAAGAAGATACCGACAAATCCTCACTTTTCGACAGTAGTCTATCAGAAAGTGACAGTACAGATTCCGAACTAACAGACGAAAATAAAGAAAACGAAAATGAAAGCAATCCTCAGCAAAAGAGAAGAAGAAGAAGAAGAGGTATAACTATTAAGAGAAACTAATATATTTTAAAATTTTAATTTCATCATTTAAATCTAAACACATGATTGCAGTAAGAAAGGATGAACCTACTGATGGTTGGGAAGAAATTTGTGGGATAGACGTTGACGTTCTGGAAGACGTTATGTTGACAAAAATACACAAGATCAGGAACACTAGTAAATATATATCAGAAAGAGACATTAAAGTGCCTACGATTGAGGAAAATCGTGAAAGATTAAACAGTGCATATAACTTGTGGCTGAAATATCGTCCAGGCGACTCTCAAGTATTTATGCCGAAATGGGAACGAATACTTGAGAAACCTATGCTAGAACAGTCCGTACTCGTAGATGAGTATGTGAAAAAAGTATTTTACTTATTGAAGTTAAAAGAAGTACCGGAATACAACATTCCTGAAGGTATTCCAAAAGGAGATGTTTTAATTAGGGACCCTAACAAACCTGGAACGTTTATTAAATTAAATGACGTTTTGGAACAAAAACCACAAATCCCGAAAAAACAGGATTTGGATTCATGCAAGGAAATATTTTCTAATATTGCTAGTTCGTCTCGTTTCAAGGTTGATGAATCCAATGCCAACTTGAGTTTACTGAAGAGAAATTGCCCACTTAGTAGAACATGATCGATTTTGGACATGAAAGAGTTTAAAATAGTAATTATTAATAAATATTTTTTGAATCTTTAATAATATTCAATTATAGTTGTAGAGTCATAGAATTAATGAACACCTGAATTTTATCACTGCATATTACAATATCTATGCTTCCTTGCACTAGTGGATCCAGGATTTAATTTTGGGGGGACTTCAGCCCGGAAGCTTTTTTTTTCGTGTATATATATATATATATATATATATATATATATATATATATATTATATATATATATATATATATATATATATATATATATATATATATAACGATAATTACTTTAGAAAAACAGAAAGATACTAGCTATATATATGAAATGGTGTTTAAGTGATTCTTGAAGTCCTATTAAATGTAATTAAACGAGCAATAATACTTTAAGATATAATTTTTTACCATAAAACATGGTTACATTTTACCATTTTGGGGGAGGCTTCAGCCCGAAAGTCCCCCCCCCCGTAAATCCGCCTGTGCTTCCTTGGATAAGATGAAGGTAATTAATTGTAATAAGATCCTATTAACTACTTAAAACTGTTAATAATATTACATTCCTGATCCTAAATGATAATCCCTAAAGAAATTCACTCTACTGTTAAAATCCTTTGAATAACCTTTGATCAAACTCTTTCTTGGAAAAACGTGTATCCAATATCTCAAGCCCTGCCGCAACCTATTTCCTGTAGAAATCCCTGGGCTCCTGGCCACTAGCGGATCCAGGATTTAATTTTGGGGTGGGGAGAAGGGACTTCAGCCCGATAGATTTTTTATCATATACTTATAACGATAATTAATTTGAAAAAAAAGGAAAGAAATTAAATACCTATATGAAACAGCGTTTAAGTGGTTCTTGAAGTTTCATTAAATATAATTACACGAACAAGAATATTTTAAGAGGTTTTTTTTTTTTTGTGTCCTCCCCTTCCTCGCCGTTAAGGCTATACGGGGTTTTCCCGGGCCAGGAAGTGTGGGCGGGGATTTAAAAGACTCCCTCGGCACCGGGATGCGAACTCGTGACTATTTTTTATATAATTTGATTGATATACCATGTTACCGGGCAACGGCGGTGCTGTGCACACGCATTAGCCTATTCGGTCACCCCGCCCACAACTTTAAGAGATTATATTTAATATTTTTTTCTGTAAAACATGGTTATATTTTACCATTTTTGAGGGGCTTCAGCCCGAAAGCCTCCCTCCTCCCCGTAGATCGGCCTATGCTCCTGGCTACTTCCTTAATATTTCCCCACCTTGGTTACTGTTTTACAGTATATATGGGTGTCTCTGTGGATATTGAGACAAAACTAAAACAGTCGATATATTCCTTTGTACGTTTCATCTTCGGGATCCCATAGGATGCTTCTGTCTCAAGTTTTTATCAAGAGTTGAATTGCCTCTGTCCTTCATGAGGTCGTATGTATTTCCTGACATCCTTTCTCTTGCGATTCATCCAATCCCATCGCCCCTCATATATCTCCGAGCTCCTTCAACTCAAACCCTTTGTTCACTCTCGCAACACTCGTTCTAGGTCTTCAGATTTATATTCAGCGGCCCACCGAACCGCGGCTTTCACTTCCTATCCCTAAAACTGTAAACAGATATTTCTATAAATTTTTATATAAATTACTACATTATTTAATTACTAGTGTTCACACAGTGGTCGAAATTCGACCATAATCATTACAAATTTTACGAAAACATATAATTAAATGAAAAATAAATTCAATAAATAAAGAGTAGTTCGTATAAAGTTCGTCAATAGGTATGAAACAAAAAAAGAAGAAAGAAAATCGGTTGAATACTAGAGGTGAAAAAGGGGCTAAACCGTTTTGTGTTTGCCTATTTATATAATGATTATTATTTCATGTTTCTTTCAAATTTAAAAAAGAAATATTATTGTTAGAAGATAACTTATGATTTATTTGTTAATTTTATTATTCTTTATAATTTGCCTCTAAAGTTCTAATAGCCCTCAATTTTTACTTTCCTACCTATTCTGGGTAAGAAAAGTATTGCTTTCGGGTCAAATTTCCGATATGCGGTTTTCGACGGATCTATACATTTTAAAGTCCCTTAAGTCCAAAAAACACATTTTAGCCATTGTTCTGTCTGTCTGTGCCAAGATTTTCTCGGGAACTACTGAACCGATTTTGTTGCTTCTTTTTTTATTTTGTAGGGTTTTGACTACTAATGCCTGTGACAGAAATTCGGTGCTCCGTGCGCAATAGCTTGCGCGCAATAAATGAAAAACATATTTTTCTATTTACTGTAGCGCGAAAACGGGTCCAACGATTTTGATGACACTTTCCTATAATGTTCATTTTGGACAACTATTAACGAAGAGACAGCTTCCAATTTCCTATGTAAGATTTTGGGTTCATATCCTGGTGTCAGAAAGGGGTGAATGAGAGAAAAAAGATGACTAAGTGAAAGTAAGAAAATCTGTTTCCCGCATCACACAAGCTTTACTATTTTCTCTACTTTTAACAGAAATTATTGTTTGTTTTACCAAGCTATGGCAAAAAGTTTTTGATCAGCAATATTAGAGAGTAGTGAAATTTTTACACTGGTCTACTTAAGCCGGTTTACATTGCTTTAGTTTATCGTACTCACATCTTTTCTTTGATCAATTTTCAGCAAAATAAATCTAGTTCAATTTTTTTTTTTTTTTTTTTTGTTTCTTCATGAAAATATGTGTAAAGGTATAAAAACTTTTCTGAAATAGGTAGGAAAATCGTGTGAGTGTACACGCCAGATTTTTTTACTTTATTTTATTCTAAAGGTTCTTGTTCCGAAATAAATAAAGAATATTATTATTAAAATTAACTAAACTGAATATAGCAACAATATTTATAATTTACATTTTTTTTTCTGATGGTCTGTGTTGTCTTGAGATGTTATTAAGCTAATGAAATGGTTGATGTGACGATGAAAATGGAAGTTCTAAATATTCTTCTAAGCATACTTAATAATGTTTAATCCTAATTTTACATTTTTTATTTTTACTAAATTATTTCAAAACAACGAAATATTAGTCACCACCAAGAGAATACGAAAAGAAAGACAAAATGAAGTAGGAGTTGTTTGACCTTGGTTGACAGGAGGTGATAAGGCTTATCTAAAAATGGTTCCTTTTTTATCTTTTTATCAACTCTATTAGCTGTAAAATTTGAATTTACCACAAAAAAACTATTACCATTATCAGGCTCATTTATACATAAGGAATTAAATTTTGAGGACATGCAAAATCAATGAATTCTTAATTTATTCATCATCGTCTGCGCCTATTCATGAATATATCCCCTATATTCAATGCCTAGGATGATGCTAGAAGACGTTGTAGTAGACATCTATCTATAAGTTTCAAATTTGACAAAAAAATCTATCTATAAGATAAAATAAAATAATAAATAATAAGATAAAATCTATCTATCTATAAAAATCTATCTATCTATCTATCTATCTATAAGTTTCAAATTTGACAAAAAAATTTACTATTAAATTTTGTAGTTTGTTCATTTATTTTGAAAATTAATCTTTTTGAATTTTAACAATACCATAATTTTAAAATGTAAAAGTATAAAAATAAAACCATTTCTTTAAATGTTTGGATATATTAATAATGATTCATGAAAATGGTGTAAGTTAATTTGTTTATATCTATTTCCAGATATTAACTAATTTAAGTTGGAATTAACTCACTTTATTTCACCAAACACGGACTTATACCTCTTAAAAGGAAAAGAAAACTCTGCGCACACCACACAACTTTAACTTACCACCCTCTTAGCAAAAATAAATACTTTCAGATAAAGGGCAAGTGAAAGTAAAAATTAAAAAAGCTTTATTGATTTATATTTCATTGTGGGTATTTTGTTTATTATATATACAAATTTTAATATTTATATTGCTGTAATCTATACAATTAAATATTAAATAATACCAACAATAGCATTTATGAAAGCCACATATGTATAATTCACATAATATTGTCGGAGTACTAATTATATTAAGCTCATGGTACGTATGTAAGTATGTTCTAATCCTTCAGGTGCGCTCGTATTCCTTTGGTTCTTTAATTATTTTTCGTTACGAGCTCTTATTTCTCCTTAAGTCAATTATCAAATTCTTTCATATTCTATAATTAACTATCAGTTTTAACTATCAATTAACTATAATTTTATATTAGAGATGAACGTGAAATGGTCAATTGTTTCAAATAAAAAAAAATTAAAGGCACTTTAAGGGAAACTAATTTTGAAAATTACTCATTTAAGCCCAGTTAGAGAACATACATCAGAATAAAACCTACGTAATATTAAAAAATGCTTAATTTTACATTGATATAACGAATTTAATCAAAATCGTTTGAGCCGTTTTTGAGAAAATCGTAAAAATCTGTTACATCGATGGTATAAAGTGCCACTTCTGGTTATTTTGACGAAAAAGTCGCTGTAACATTCCAAGCATATAAAAACCTTAAATATGCAATTTCACTTTCGTACGGCATTTTGTTTTTGAGTTAAACTGTTAACACCTACACACAAACAGACAATTTTGCGGGACTTGGTTATTTCGACTCAGAGGATCTCAAAACATGTTTTTCTTATTTCCTAAGCCTAAGTAACGCCTGCTTGATCAGCCATGCGTGCTCTTGCAGTCCAATATAATTTTGCTCTTCGAGCATAAGGGATGTCCTTTTCATTAAAGGAACATCTTATGTCCTGTAATGCAGGGCATGTGTCAAGATTTTCTCCTGTCATAATATCCAAGGAACACAGTGAGCATATCTTTTATACCGATACGGTGGAAGTGCTTCTGCAGGAAATCCGTGGCCTGTGAGCATCCTGCCATTTTCTGTATTTCCGTTGAAAACTAAGATTCGAAAGTTTTCACGATCACAATACTTTCCCTTACTATATCTTTCATATAGTCAAGATTTCAAGATAGAAAGTAAAAACGCTCATACAAGAAACAAAATAATCTTTTTACATCTGTATTCGATAACATGTGTTATTTAATAAATTTCATTTATTCCAAACTAGTTTAA